TATCAACGTCTTTTGTAATCTTCTTACTTGTCAGTTTACTCACTAACCAACCTTTTTTAACGCTCTTAAAGTGACTCTCTTTTTTTTCAAGACTCTCTTGCTGCTCATTACCTGAAGGCTCGTTTGTTTGGGTTTTTTTTCTGAATAGTATGGAACTTGGATTTTGGATTTTCCAGAATTTAAACAGGTTTGATGGTCTTGATGGTCTTGATGGTTTGGTCTTGATCTGCGCAACCAAACAAAAGGGGTAATTGAAAGGTGCAAAGTACCATTTAATCAACTATCAACTTGATTGATGCAATTTTTCTTCCAATAGTTGGTTCAATGTGAAATCGATCAGTTTACCAAATAAAGCTAAATTCAAAATTGGCCAACATAGAGTATTTTGAAGTGGAAAAAATGTCTCCAAAGAAACCCATTAAGCATGGAAACTCAATTAGCAGTTAAAGTTAATCCTAGAGACAGCAAAGCACAAGGTTTGTTTAAGCCGATCATGACTAAAGCCATCATTCATCAGCGGATAAGTCAATTAGCAGGTTGATTGGCTTGGATTTAATCGTGTTAACTCTGGTTAACATTGAACATTTCCTAACATGTGATTGAAATTAAGTGCAGATTGGACCTTGTTAAACATGTTGCCCTTTTTTTTCCTGGGTTTGATTAGCTTTATATTTCCTCATTGGGATACCATTTCATTACCAAAATCAGATAATATAGTAAATGTCAGCAAATTAATTCCCAGACAACCAATGATAATAAATAATAGCACTAAATAAAAAAAAATGAAATGATATATAATACATGTTAACAGGTGATGATTAGGAAAACCCTGGTTTGCCGAGAACCTTGTCATTCATACATTGGTATCATTGAGGAGAGGAGGAGGCAGAGGTTGATGGTGGAGGTGGTGGTGGTGGTGGTTAGTGGTTAACATTATGGTGGTATTGGTTTGATTGTGATGCATTTAACCTTAAACACGATGTAATGCTTACGGCGGATGAGACATAAAATATCATTGCCCTGAGCAAACAGAAGGTTACTTCATGGTTATTCAACGCTTCAAGGAGGGTTAATACTTTTCTCAATCCTTACATTTCATTATTTCTTATCTTGTATTCAGATTTTTTTACCTTTATTCATGCTTAATATTTTTCGTTAGAGTTATTTTTCTTGCCTTCTAAGCACGCGTTTTGTGTCCTTAAGTGATAACCTGAAAAGCCCATGAAGCTGTTTATCCAGGGCAATTAATTGCTAGTTAAATGTCTTTATATAATATTTTCACAGTCAACACCAAATCTGTTGCAATTTTACAGGGAGACTCTCCAATGAAATTTCCTTGAGTTTTCCATGAGAGTTTTGCTCAACAGTTATTTACCTTTTTCTTGGGCTGTGTCCTTACTCTAATGTGTGTGTGTGTTTCTGCTACATCTTCACCTTCTTGGTCAAGCTAATTTTTTGCTGCATGCTTTGTAACCAGATTGTAATCTGTAAGGACAATTGATTAATAGTGACCGTAAATTAACATTTAAAAAAGGATATTACCAATGCTTTATATATTTTACAAAAGCCTTGGTTCACAAGGGCTGTGAGTAGCCATGATTAGTTTGGGCTTCTGAATCCTTGTTGGGTAACCTCGGTGGAAAACCTCGAATATTGATACACTGGACAATTTATCAGCAATCAATAGTCAATCAAAGGACAACCAAAGGATAATTAAAGGACGATTCATGTATTGATGCCTTTTCGCACGTACATGTCTTTGCCATTGTTAAATTATATTGACTTTAAAATGCTTCAATCTGTGGATTGTTCAATCATTGGCTTGAAAATTGGTCAACTGGTTGCTAGACACGTTACTTTATAGATTACACTTTCTTGACCATGAACCATGCAAATAGCCTCGATTGTAATATTGGAATCACCAACCTAAAAGGATGAAAAAAGGTATAAAATAGATTAAACGAAATAAATCTAAAGATTTGAAGGATAATGAGAGGTCAGTTAATCTTGGTTTTTCCGTTTTTTTTCTTTGATCTTTTCTAAATTTTTTATCAACAAATCTTATATAATCAACTTAATCTCTCTTTGATTACCAAATTATCAATGATCATTGATTATATAAAAATGGTGATAAGTTTAGATTTTCATACGTTAGTCAGACTGATGGAGTGTGATTGATGATAAAAAGGTATAACCTGATTTAACCTGTAATTATTATCAACTGGAATATTAATTACATTATAAGGTGGCAGTTGGAATCACTGGTTCATCTTGTTTGTTTAATATTGGACAATATTGAGCTCAATTTTGGCCAAAAATGAAAATTTCATTCTGAAAAAATGAAACCTTGGATTGTGAGCTTTGAACATTTTGTTGTAGATATATTGTCTTTCAACTGACAATTTAGTTTTAATTGTCATCGATCTAGGTAGATTTAATTTAATGTTATTGTTTCCTGTTAATTGTTCATTATATTTTTCCAATGCTTACTAATGATAATAGCAAAAACTCAGCCTTCAACTAAATACTGAAGTATAAGTCACTAATAATTAGTGAATATATATATATATTGAAATGAATAGAATCTACAAAATCCCTAACAATTAGTTTATAAAGTCTATTAAAAAAAATAGAAAGAAACACAAACGGATGACATTGATCTCGATTCCTGGGTGAGACACTTGAAACAATTGAATAATCATTACCACCCGGAAATGCCGAAAGGCTGAATATAACGCAAAATAAAAAGCACAATCAGAAAAATAAGAAATAAAGAGATAAGTATATATGATAATATTTGACTTGATTCCATCTTAATGATGGATTCTTTGCTTGATTTTAACGAATCATGAACCAGAAAAAAAATACCGGGAACCAGAAAAATATGTAAACTAAAAGAAGCCAAGATGAGCCCTAAATAGTGTTACCAAAAGTGTAGCTAATCAACATGTGTGGACAAGGAAAGAAAATAACATAATTAGGTTGACCAGTAGCAATTTTCGTCAATTTTTGTAACAATGCTCTGTATTTATTTTCGTATCTTGCTTTATAAATAGTACTTTAATTAATTGTTTAAATTAATTTATTATCTTTTTGGGTAATTGCTGGTTAAATAAGACTGTTGAGTTATTTTACAGGCAAAAATTGTGCCTTTCTGGTTAACCAATGGCTTCCATATTTTAAGCTTATCATATATTTCCACAAATAGTGGAACCAAAATTTTAGTATTTAATACAATTAATTTAAAATGCTAAATCAAGTGATCACAAGCCGAACGGTTGTAAACATTTATTGTTGGTTTTCAGACAATCGATCAGTTGAACAAGTTGGTAAAATTATGGTTTGTTGGAAAACCAATTTCAGTGTAAACCAGGTAAAGAAATCGCAATTGAATTTACTCAACCTTTATTTCAGGAAGGACAGTAAACAAATAGTAACCATAGATGCTTAAACATATGACGATCACCAATAATATCACATTCAAAATGAACATGAAGGAGACCTGAAAAATCACAGAAGAGTAATGTTTTGAAAAATCGTCCCATGTACAGCAGATTTTGATGGGTTTAGGTCCAGACAGGATGGGACAACAAAATACTTTGGGATAATTCATACAAGATATTTTAGTTTTTATACCAAAATTATCATGAGATCGACAAATTCCTATGTCAGCGCGGACTTTTCTGCCATCAACAGGGTTTAGAGTTGAGTGAATGAACAACCAAATAACGAGTGCTATTGGTGGTGAGATTGGACTTACGATGTGATCTTTCATGTTATCGTTTCAGGTCATTTAACAGAAATATTAAACAGTTGGAAGGTGGGAATTGAGCTGAAGGTCCATGAACAAAGATATTTACCGGAAAACTATCAGGAAAAGTTTAAGGAGTTTAAGTTTGTCAAAGATAAATTTATGATAATATTTGACTTGATTCCATCTTAATGATGGATTCTTTGCTTGATTTTAACGAATCATGAGCCAGAAAAAAATACCGGGAACCAGAAAAATGTGTAGACTAAAAGAAGCCAAGATGAGCCCTAAATAGTGTTACCAAAAGTGTAGCTAATCAACATGTGTGGACAAGGAAAGAAAATAACATCAATAATTAGGTTGACCAGTAGCAATTTGTTCAACTATAAATGTGGTACTCACCATTGATCTAATTGTAGCAAAGGTAATATGACCAATAAAATATAGATGTAGATATTTGAAAATGTAAAAAAGGTAAATATTTCAAGGTCGATTCCTGATAAGATCTATCAATTGATAAAATATAAATGTTGGTTATAATGATGATGGAACCTTCCGAGCACTAAATCTTATCTTCTTGATCATCTGTTTCTTGATTCAGGTCAAATGTGAATGAGGGAGAAGACGAAGAAGAAGAAGAAGAGGGAATGAAGAAAAAAAAGAGAAAGAAAAAAGAGAGAGTTTACAAAAAAGAAAGTAAAAAAGTGCCAACAGGAAAATGGTGTGATGGTGATTTTTGTTGAAAATGATACACAACGATAGGAGAATGATGATGACAGATTGGAAGATAAATTTGTTTATAAGATGATAAAAAGTGAAAGTTAACATTTAGGTAAATAATGATAATGAAAATTGTACCTTTACCTGATGAGGACGCCTCTAAGGTCACGTTAGTAAAATGTTCTTGGCCTGGTTATGCTTTTGTGCTTTTTTGATAGCAAACAGCATAATTTAAGTTTTGCTTTTTAGGTAAAAAAAAATGAGGAACGTCGAGTAGGAAGACGGAAGAGATAATTAACTAATTATGTCCTTACCATTTCAATTTTTGTAACAATGCTCTGTATTTATTTTCGTATCTTGCTTTATAAATAGTACTTTAATTAATTGTTTAAATTAATTTATTATCTCTTTTGGGTAATTGCTGGTTAAATAAGACTGTTGAGTTATTTTACAGGCAAAAATTGTGCCTTTCTGGTTAACCAATGGCTTCCATATTTTAAGCTTATCATATGTTTTATTAACTGTTTTACCGCCAGATTTTATTTCTTTATTTATTGTTGGCTTTTATTTCAGTTTTCCTGGTTTTTTTTGCTCTTTAATTTTTTCGTTCATTGTTCTCGTGTTTTAATTATGATCATGTTCGGCGTCTACTGTTGATATGTACTAATCATCAGACTTTGATTCTGCAAATATTGTGTTGGAGCATTAAATGCCATCATCATCTTTCAAAGTGACTCTCTGTACATTGGTGAATTTTTAACACGTGAAAAGAGAGCTGCTGTGTTTTTGTTTATTGTTGATTATGATAATGCCTGGAAATTATTGACTATTGATAATTACTTTTCCACTTCGACTTTGGCTTTGCAGTCTATCACGTCCAATATTCAGCAATTCGGATAGTGGAAAAAATGTGAAAGAAAAAAAAGGTTTACTAAGATTGGCCGTTAGCTGGTTTTGTTGAGCTACTCTAGATAAGGAATTAAGATTTTAAGTAAGTTTCAGTTGAGGAAGAAAAGCTTGTAATCATAAGCAGACTAATGATTGTTGGTTGATACCAAAAATGTTGTCAAAAGTAAATGGTTCAGTGAAGATTGAGTGAAAACAAAAAATCATAAGCACAGAAGAGCGAATGCTTATTCGCTACGATTTGTGTCCATAAATCTTTGAAGGATTCTTTCCTCAACATACAAGCTGACTATTGATCACTGTTTACCATCGTCCAAGTGACTTTTAATTTTAAAACTTTTCTCCAATCATGATCATATCGTATAGTCAAGAATCTTTGGCTGAACCACTCATTTCAATAAAAATAAACACTGATAAAATTTTCATGAAATTATCATGATAATTTGTGTGTTATTTTTTATCCTTGAATCCGCTTGAAACTAATTGAGGGGCTCTAACTTTTTGTTGAGATATATCAAATCTTATTTCATCATATTTACATGCAGATTGGCCATGTTAACAACACAATTGCCATCTTGAAACGCTGATCAATAGATCAACTTTTTTTTGTTTATTATTAATCAAGATTTGTATTTTTTTTTGTTTGACAGGTCCTTGAGTCCATCCGTTTTGGATTTTAAACTGTGAACAAATCAGCAAACCATGGAAAGCCAGAAAACAGCAAAATATACCTGAAAAAACTTAATTTAAAATGGCAAAAATTATCAAGTTGAACAATAAAGTGGCCAGTGAGGAGAATTGGAAAGACTGGCAATCAAGAGCATAATTTTACAACCACCTTCATAGCCATTAACATGAAGCTTATCAACAACTGTTCTTCCTTATCAGTGAGAAAAACACAGTCGAGTTAAAGGTCAACTTGGACGAAAAATGGCCTAGTCCTCTAAAATAGTTGCTCAAAAAGTGCAATTATCGAAAGGATTTGAACGAAACAACCCAAACACAAAACACACAAAAGACAATGGCATTGAAAAAAACAACAACTAAATATTAACGTTATTATATTATTAAATTATAATTTAGCCTTTAGCTGCTAAATGATGATGATAATAATATTATTGGTTAATAATGGCTCAAGCAGCAACAATGATGATCGGAAAACCTAACAGATTGTTAAAGATGCGAAATTGCTGTAAAGTAAATAATTAAGTTAACATCAAGTTAACAACAGTAGTCGTACAGTTTGCTGTTGTTGTTGTAGCAGTTTTTTCTGTTCGTTTTATGTACAAAAAACCAAAATGTATATAAAACACAAATACGGGGAGATACCAAGTCAAATGACCTGAATCGCGAAGTGAAAAGTTAAATAATTTTAATATATTTTGATTTGATTATTAATTTTAAATTACTATCATCAGCTGAGTGAGTAGAATGAAGAAGGGAAAGCTAAGGAGCAAGTAAAGTGAGTGAGATAGTGAGTGTGAGAGGGTTTGTGTTTATTAATCAAGATAAGTTAGTGAGTAGAAAGTGAACATGAAAAACGTGAGTCCCAATAAATAATGATAATGTTTAACTTTAATGAAAAATCTTAAACCTTCATTCAGCTCCTTCATTTGACTCCTTCATCTTCTTCATCATCTTTATCTTCATCTAACCTTCTTAGTTGTCTTCTTCTCTGTATTGGATGAATCAAGGAAGCTGGATGATTGTTTAAATGTTGAAAGAGACGCAATTTGAACAATCAAAAAGGGATTGATATTTTTCATTTACCATTAGTTTGTGTCTTTTGTTTGGTTGTTTTGTTTCATTTCATCCTTTATTCACCCCTTATTATTAGCGTTCAACAAGAAACTCAATTTATTAATAACTTTGATTCAGTCTTCTGTGATATTAACATCAAGTCAACACTACTAGTGATCACCATCTCTATTGGATTACCAGTTTGTTTCTCGCCATCAACTAAGACAAGACAAAACCATCTTTTAAACATTGATTGCTTCTAATATTTTATTCAACTGTTCCCAAGTCATCTATTCATTTAAATCAATCAACTTTACCAATTACCAACTCAACTCCAGTCAAATAACAAACACTTTATCCAAAAACAAAAATGCCAAGAACAAATGATTTAACCTCAGTGATTCTTGGTTCAAGTCGATCAAGTTTCGTCAATACAATTTGTAAATTTGTCCGAGATGTTGATGAAATGAATGAGACTGTCATGATTCCATCTCTATTGACTGATTTAAATAACAATTCATCTACACAACCATCAACCGATTTGCCTGAATGTTTCGATCTACAAACACTTCATCAATTACTTAATCGTCTAAAAGATGAATTAACAATAGCTCGATTTGAAGATGATCAAAGTAAATCTTGCAACTTTACCTCTGCCAATAATATTTTATCTATCAATAACTGTAATAATAATATTAACAACAACACCAACAACAATAGAAACAACAACCAGATTAATGTAAATTCAAATGTATCAACAACAGGAGGAACACCATTAAGGATAGCTGAAGGTGATCTTAGCGGATTGAGCAAGAAATTGTCCTCTTCATGCAAATGTTCAGATTCAGATGATGGTTTCTCTTCATTAAACAGCTACAGTAGAAACTCTGACGATGAATCGACCGGTTCTTCTCCCTCTTCTGATTCAGACTCTGAATGCTGTTCATCATCATCTTCAACATCATCATCAACTCCAAATCAATCCCGTGAAAATGAGCCATCAATTGCCGAATCTTCACCCGAATATATTGTTAATCTACTTCGACTTCACATACAAGGAATTCAATCAATTTTAACTCGTTTCTCTAAAAGTGCTGATCAAATATCAGAATCATACATTAATTCAATCAATTAGCTGTCCATAGACTCACATCCAAACCCAATGGCGGCAAAATTGGTCAAACCTGAATACGATATTCATAAACATTTTGCCGATCCATTTTGTCATCAAATTCAACTATTTTTTGTTTGCCTCACTATTCTTACCTACAAACAATCAATTTATATGTTTAAATTTAAACAAATGCTTCTTATTTTTACCTTTGAATTGTATCAACTGTTTGTTTCGTTTGAATTTATTAAAAAAAGGAGACACAAAAATTCAAAACAGAAAGTCTTTTTTTATTCGTGAGCACCTTTTTTGCCTTCATTTTACACTCAATAAATTTCAACAAAATTAACAAAAATTTATCATATTTCAAATTGAATACAAGAATTAAGACACCAATAAGATATACTAAGTAGGCTAATTATTTGCTCTGATTCACAATATAATCAACTCTTTTCCCTTTTTGCTTTAACCATTTTGTTGGCTTCACTTCCATTTATTTACTCGTAATTTTTTGCTTCAACATTACATTTTTCACTCAAACAAAAGCTTATTAAAAATGAAAGAATCAATTTAATCAATTTATCTTCCTAATCATTATCACCACCATCACTATCACAATCATCATAATCATCATCATCATCATCTCTTCCCTTTTCACTTCTTTACAATCCATGATCAGGTTATATTTTCAGGTTGAATTAAACCTGACTTTAGTATTTTAAATTTTAGTTTTTGTTCACCAACAATTATTAAATTATTTTGTTGTGTGTCTGTTCAAAGTTGATTAGTTGGTTGAGTAGTTAACAAACCGTAAGAGTTGATTGAGTTTTACAGCGCAACGTTTTTTTTCGGCTAACTAACATACATTATACATTTATTGATTGGGAACGTGTGCGGGAATTGCATTAATTATTGACTTTCCATTAAAATTGGGTTAACTTTCATTGATTAACATACAGATTTCAACAATATGTGAATAATTAATCTCTACAAATCTAGTTGTCTTACACTGTTAAATTGTCTTCAACTTTGAAGCAATCAAATGCCAGCCTCACCAAGAACCCACTTTTGCCTCTCCAGATTATCGGTGAACCAGCAAACTGTATTTAGTTGATTGAAATGTGTTCGATTAAATTAATAATACTTTTACTTCGAACAGTTAAAGTCTAATTAATTACGACCTTGACAAACTCCTTGACTTTGTGTGGGTTTTTTGAAATTAAATGATTACTTTTGATTAGTGGTGGTAGTAGTTAGTAGAAGTGCTGTTCAGAGTGTTTTTCATTTTTATGCTCTTGGTTAAGATTGTTTGATTTGAAAAAAAAGCAACACCAAACGATTATACTATTATTGCTATTATTATTATTATTATTACTATCACTGTCGTTAATGTTACTTTTATTAATACAATTATTATTAACATTATCATTGCTTAATCAATGAATGGTATAATAAATGCAAGAGAATTTGATAATCGCGCGTAATTAACTTTTGCAAAAAGAGAGCAATCCAATTGGTTGATTTTTACCACAAAGAAATATCCTTTGTCTTTTTTTGTCAACTTTAAAATTTAACATAATCACAGTTGGACAAGAAATCATTTCCACTTTTAATAAGTCTTATTTTTAATTGTTTTCCTACTCTTATTATAATAAACTGTAGTTGGGTCCTATTTATTCAAACAATGGTAAGGTCAATGGTAAAAAGTTGGAACAATCACACCAGACCTTCTATGTTGAGTGGTTTCAATTGCTTTTTTTTGGTGGAAACGGTGATTGTGGATTGGTTACTCAATATTTAATGGTACTTTAATCAATATTGTTTATCTTACGAGTTGACGGTGAAATTTTTATCCATTCCTTGTTTCAGATTTTACAAGCTTGGTTTGTTACAAACAGCGATTACTTAGGTTTGAACATTTCACATTGCTCATCAAAGTTGTATAATTAGCAATATTGACAATTTCACATTGATTATTATGATTTCATTCAATGTGGTAACGTGTGTTGCCACATTCACCGTAACTAGGAGCCTAATTGTTTTCAGCTAACCAATAATTTCTGTTATTTTCCTTTCCATAGCCAATAATGGTAATATCTCATGAATGTCTCATCCCATTCCACATGCTTGATTGCCGAAGATTCTCGAACTACAAGATATGAAATCATCAACTTGAAATACCATTTAAATGGATCTAGTAATGATATTCTTGTATTTCAATGTCACATATGGGTTTAACTGTCACTTCTTCCAGTGAAGTCTAGGAATGGCAAGGTTTCCGATAAGCCTCAAAGGGATAAAAGGTGAACTGGTTGGAAATGGTTAATAGGCAACTTGGAGGCTCCTATTGAGTTATCAGTCGACATCAGCATCATAAGTTGTCCAGTTTTATTAAATGATTGCCCTTCAATCAATGCTGCTCGGAGACAGTCAACCTTGTTCAAAGGAAGTTTTGGTGTCCAATAAACCAACAAACCAGCAAACCAGATAAACCATCAACTACAAAGGGTGAACTTAGCAATGGAAGGCTTAACCTTAGGTTACTTTCATCTACATTTTCACCCGATTACTGGTGAAGAATGCTTGTTTCTTCAACAGTCTGTAAACTAAAAGATGGTGAAGACGAAACATTTCAATTAGCTGAACAGTGATTAATTAGATTAAATCGAAGAAAGTGGCCTTCATCTCATTTTTAGTTGAAATGTGTTTTGCTTTGTGTATGTTAGTTGGAGCTGGATCGCGTCTAGGTCAACTTTCAATAAGCGGAATCAATGAATAAGTGATATTTGCATGTCTTTAGGGTAAAAATTTAAACCATCATAATCATCATAATCCTTATAATCCTCATCATTATACGCTTTCTCTTTCTCTCCTCTAAAATAAGCGAGATGGAGAAGGTAAACATTGAAAAAGTAGTCATGATCATGAAAAGTAATAGAAGGAGAAAAAAGTGAAAACCTGGAAGCGATTTTATCTTCTTCATTCTCTTTCTTCATTCTATCACAGCAACAGCACCAATAATGATAACCATAATAATAATAATAATAATAATTTGTTAATCATTATCAAAATATTGGAAAGGTCAAAATTAATCAGCAAATACGATCAAAACCCGGAATCGCAGTTAACCTTTTTTTCTCGATTAAAGCTGCTTGTTTTTAAGTTTCAACTGTTTTGTAGCAGTAAAAGGCCAACTATAAAAAAACTAACAACACCTTTGACCTCAAGTGACAGGTTATATCATTTTTAATAATAGCTTGAAGCTAAGTATTGAGAAAGCGAAACAAATAATTAATCTAAATTACCACTTAACTACCAAAACAGTGAAAGAAACAATGGCAATTGAAAGGTAAAATATAGTTAATCGTACAACTGTTTGAATCATTTCATGATGAATGAAAATACTATTGTAAATTAGCGACTCTTTTTTAAACGGCAATTTGTTTTCTGTCGTTAATAAAATTAGTTAAGTGATAAACTAATCATTGACAACAAATTAGCTTAATAAATGTAAATTTTAAATTTTAAAATTAAATTTCAGGTTTCATTAGGTACTGCCATCTTGTATTAATGAGCACAAGTAATATACAAAACAACGCGTTTTTTGTTTCAAGAAAAGTGAATTTTCTCGTTTTTTCAATTTAATTATGTGATTATAAAATTATTACTGAACTTTAATTTATGGCAGAACAATTACCTTCTAATATTAAGTTTTAATTAGTCAGATTATGCGACTTTTTTTATGGTTAATCGACTGCAAGTACAAGTTTTATGTTCATGGATTGTTAACACTTTTTACTTAAATCATCAAATCGGTTTGTTACTAACTGTCTGCTTCTCAGTACTCATTGGGTTTATCATTGTGACATATAATATCATTGTCATGTAATCTAATTGTCATTAAATAAATGCTTCTTTATTGTGCTTCTCTTCGTGGTTGGTTTAAGATTTCAATATTTGATCTCAACAAGGAATACATCACTTCAAGTAGTGCAGTATTACAATATGAATTTTCTGGTTGGTGAAAAGGTTCATCATCTCTTATTCAAGCTTACTCCTGCTCACAGTTAGAACGCGATTATTTGATAAGTAATTTGTATCAAAAGATCAACATCCTACCTGAAACACTTGATGAAAAATGAATTTATCTGCATTTGGTGTAGCCGTTGAAAAATCTTACTTCTTATTGTTCTTTCAGACAATTGATCAGTTGAACAAGTTGGTAAAATTATGGTTTGTTGGAAAACCAATTTCAGTGTAAACCAGGTAAAGAAATTGCAATTGAATTTACTCAACCTTTATTTCAGGAAGGACAGTAAACAAATAGTAACCATAGATGCTTAAACATATGACGATCATCAATAATATCACATTCAAAATGAACATGAAGGAGACCTGAAAAATCACAGAAGAGTAATGTTTTGAAAACTCGTCCCATGTACAGCAGATTTTGATGGGTTTAGGTCCAGACAGGATGGGACAACAAAATACTTTGGGATAATTCATACAAGATATTTTAGTTTTTATACCAAAATTATCATGAGATCGACAAATTCCTATGTCAGCGCGGACTTTTCTGCCATCAACAGGGTTTAGAGTTGAGTGAATGAACAACCAAATAACGATTGCTATTGGTGGTGAGATTGGACTTACGATGTGATCTTTCATGTTATCGTTTCAGGTCATTTAACAGAAATATTAAACAGTTGGAAGGTGGGACTCTACATGCAACCAAATCTCCATCATCTGGTCATGATAATACAACCAAAGAGCTAAAGAAATCATTTTATTTCTAATTAAGAACAATTGTGATTGTTACAAATTCCAATAAACAAACATCATCTGGTAATGAATTTTAAAAAGGCTGAGAGTTTCCTCATCAAATGTTAACTGTTTCATGGACTAATATTAGTCACTTTATTAGCTTTACTATATTATTGATTGTTTAAATATTCAAATTCATTCAGAGTTATCATTATCTTGAACATATTAGAAGGTTGAAAAGATTGACTGTTTTGCCTTACTTTTTGCTAATCAAGTAATTATCGAGAATGATTATCATTGGAAATGACAAAAGCTTACAATTTTGCTTCCGATTTAATCAGGTTTCTAACAAAAGCTTCAAATTATCATTCCTATGATAATAATTTGAAAATATTTTACAATAACGTAATCCAATGAATTAATTTGGTCCTTATTCTGACTTCATCTCTTATCTTTCCTTGGATTATGATCAAAATGTGCAACTAGATTTGATTTCAAATCAACTGTAAACAGTATATTAATACTGAAAGGATTAAAGTCGCATTTATTAATTTTTTCAATTGAGTAAAAATTTATTCAATTGTGATACTCGAACGCCATCTGTAGAGATCTCTCGCTACTGATAATAAAACGATTTTTAATTCAAAATTGATAATTTTACACCAACCTCGTAACTCTGCTTATTTCTAGTTATCTTTATTGTCTAATTTAAATCTAAATCAATTTATCAGCTTAATTTGGTTAATGAAAATTTATAAAAGCGTTTTAAAATTTTCTTGAAGGGTGATCAAAATATGTGTGAAATTGAAATCTAATCTCCATTGGCATCACCATGAATGGCACCTTTTGATCTTCATTCTTGTTGGTTCAGTTATTATAATTATTATTGCTTTTTATATCTCGATAGACGCGTTATAAAATCTGCATTCTGATCAATTCATGAATTTAACAGTTAAAAGTAAGTTTATCTCGTTTTTCCTATCAGTAATCGTAATTCCTTTGAATTGCTCATCCATTCGTTTTAACCTTCACGAGCAATGGATTAAGGCTCTTTGAGTGAAGCACAATGTTTGTATCTCTTTTTTTGATCAAGAGGTTATTTAATAAATTGATTGTTATTAGTAAATTTAATCTTTAGTTCTTTCATTTCTTTTTTCAATAGGTTAAAGGTTATTACATTAAAAAGAAAGGATGACCCGGATAAAGTTATATTGTACAAGATTTTCAAGAGGCGAGACAACAAAAGAGTGATAGACAACGATAACAACATGATGTAATAATAACATGGAGATTGCAAAATTTGATTACTTTGTTTTATAATTAATCAATTGTGATGTTTTTATATAAAAGTGATTTTCTCTATGAATTTATATATCTTCAGGTATGTATATATAATCCAAGAATAAATCCAATATACAATTTAGAGTTGGTTTGGGTTTGAGACATTTGGGTAACAGCTGAGAGAGAAAGCATGAGATTTTGTGTGTTTATGTATTCGTATTGCTATAGATCATCAAATCAAAACGCAACATAACAAAAAATTAACTTGAATTTAACTATGGTTAGAGATTTTTTTCCCATCAGTGATAAGTAGATTGATTAACAGTGTTCCCTTAAAACTGTATATTGGCTTGTTTCATGATAAACTGTTTTACTGAACAAACTCGTTAGCTTGGTGCAGCTAAATTATTTACGGTACATTGATGGCCTTTTTCCGTTCCTTTAGCTAAAAACAGGTGTCCGTTAAAAAATGGAAGAGATTATATTGGATGATCAGGTGATGCTATGGGACAGCCACTGTTGATGTGTTGGATTACCTCTCGCTTGAGACTACAAACATGATCACGTAATTTATTTACTTTGGTGCTTAATTGTTCATTCTCATCTTTCAGTTCATTAACTCTTTTCTCTAATAAATGGATCTTTTCCAGTTTCCTTTTACGACATTTGGATGCTGCTATTCGATTCCGCTGTCTCTTTCGTTCCAATTTAACTTTCTCTTGTTCCTCCATGTCAATTGGTGAAACTGGCGGTGAAATGATTAAACTTGGCGGTGGTTGGGGCTGTGATCGGGACATATTTTTCAGACTACCATTTGAACTGCAATTTGAACTGTTGATCGAGTCTGGCTCATGTTTGATATTTACTTGTTGCTGCATTAAACCAACATTGGAAACTATCGGTGCTGACGCCGAGGATAGGGTTGTTAAGGTTATCGGTGAGGATGTCATTGGTATTGGCGTATTACTGGCAATTGGTTGAGCTAATGAATGGCTGTTTAAATGGTCTGGCACTTGGTAAACTCCATTTGATAAATCAGTGTTACCATTTAACTGATTGTTGCTGCTATTGTTGCTATTGTGACTATTATTGATATTACTATTGTTGGTATATTCTGATGATACTCGTGATGACCTGTGAATATTTCCGGGTAGTGATTCAGCCAACATGGAATCATTGTGGAACACAGAATTGGTCATGTGTTGATTAACATTGGTATGAGATGTTGAATTGATTTGCTGTTGAATATTATCACTGGTTGTTTCATGATTAGGATAACTTAACGAATTCAAGTTTCCATATGAACAGTTGACTCTTGAATTACCATTACTAGTGCCATTTGACATTTGATTGGTGCTATTTAAATCAAGATTCGTAACACCTCCATTGGACATGTCGTATCCATAGGTGTTGACTATAGAGGATGCGTTTGACATTTCTATAAACAACCTTTCTAAAGCTGGTGTATTCATTTTGCTGATTTCCGAGGAATCCAAAATATCGTTTTGAATCATTTTCTGTTGGAAATACAAAAAGAAATAAGATTAAACATGGAAATTAGTCAATATTTACTCAAGAGAAACAAACATCAATAGGATTCTCATTCACTTTACAGCAGATAATTTCATCGCAATGAAGCAACAATTTTCATTATTATTTCAATTGCAGATAACACAGGGGAGGAGAGTGTATAACCATGAACTTGAAAAATTTGGATTCCAAGTTGAGTGAAATTACAAAACAAAAGAGAAAAGTCAAAGTTCGAACCTTGGATTATTCCAGTTTTATCAAATTGTACTTATCCGAGGCACAAAACACAAAACACAACCCAAATTAAGTAGTTGAATACAAGTTTAAAGATGGAAAGTTTTCTGTAAGTGTTGATTGAAACTCTTTTTTGGTTCACAATCTGTGAATTGTATTTTAAACAGATTAACAGATAACAATTAACCACCACTTACTTCAGCCATCTGAAGAAACAATTATCATCAATTGATCCATAAACAATTGGCACTAATTAATAAATAGCAATAGTTTCATCATTTCACTTTGGTTTCCAAAGAGACACTAAATGCAAAATTTCTTACTTTCCCTTTAAACTTGTACAACTCAAGTACAAGTGTAATATAAAACTTCAGTGAAAAACAATCAACACTCACTGACTACTTTCAAACTAATAACAAAAAAAACGCATACAACGAGGTTTTTTGGAGAGTTTTCATCAACGCCTAAAATGATTATGCGCCAGTCTCACTAAAAATAGGATAAGAAAACCCTTTTTAACGCCCAATCGTACCTCCTCTGAACCTCTCTTTGTACTAAATCAATGAACAAATTATGCGGCAACTTTTACTATCCAAATCACAATTTGTTTGTGCTTCAATTGATTCACTTTGACCATTGAAAGGCCTTACTAAACCCTTCCAACAAGTTGATACAAAATTTGCTTTTCCTTTTCTGTCCAATACTAATTTTTGATTCTTTTTTCATTTTTCTTTCAGATTTGTTGTTTCCACTAATCAAGTGCATCATGTACTTTAATGTAAACATTTTTCTTCTTCTCGTCGCTGAATCTTCTCCTGCTATTCTACCTGTTCGTATGGAGAGAAGCAAAAAATTTACATTTAATCAAGGTTACTGAGCGGTTATCATGGCTGGCAAAGAATCTGACTCAAAGATAGTGGAAAAAAGTAGGATCAATCAGTTGGAATGAAAGATAAAATCATGGTTAACTTGTCAAAAAGGAAATTTGGTTATCTTTTCATTTTAATTTCATGATTATTCAATCACTTCACAGGGAACAATTTCTTTCATTATTATAATGCTCGTTATTACCATTTACTCTTGTGGCTTAATTTTAAATTGGCGTTAAACTAAATTTATATTTGTTTCAGTTTCAGTTTCTCTTCTGCTAATTGTCCAGCTGATTAACATGTATGGCTAACCATTCAACATGACCTTAGACCATTTATTGGCCTTCAATTTTATTGATCTTTGATTTGCATACTTTGCGTTTATAAAAATATCTTATCGTTTCCAATCCTGGGTTTCATTGTTCTCAGTTTAATTATGTAAGTTTATATAATCCGTGCAGCTCTACCTTCAACAGTACGTGTTTACTAATCACAGTTACTCAATAATCTCGTAATTAAAAGGTGTTTGATTTGATAAGATATTGGTTTCTGGTTCAATTGATGGTTAACCATTAATTTATGCAAATTAACCAGAATATTGATTTCATTTTTTTCACAATTTGATAAGCGAAAGGTTAGAGTCGAACTGTTGAGGTTTTATCATCAGAATACCATGAAAAGGTTCAATCAAGTCTATTAACATGTTAAATTTAATGTTAATAACATTTTTAAAAAATGATTTAAAATTTAAAATATTTGATTGAATATTGTGATAAAAGTTACATTGGTGACTTCAGATAGTGATGAGTCTAATAAACTTTAAAGCTGATTTTTCACCAATTAATGTAACATGTGACTATTGAATTTCATTCAACAAGTCCATGGTGAGTACAATTGAAATGAATCAGCACTAACATTGTAAGAAGTCTAGAATGGGATAGAAACTATTTCCAAAGCATCAACTCTGGAAATAGAAATGGACTTTGAAAAATGGCCTTAAAATGATTTGATTTAAGGAGCTTTTTATTAAACTAATAATGAATTCATATAAATCACAGTTTATGGAAATCTTTTATTGAAATCATCATACATTATCCATAATTATATTTGAAATTAATCAGCTTGAAGTGGACTTTAAACCAGACTAAACATAGATGGCTAGCCAGCAATTAATTGTTAATATTATTGTAGACAATGAAAATAACAAAATTCAATAGCAAAAGGATTATTTTAATGTCTGAATAACATCTTCTGGAGCTTTTCTGGTGAAAATTGAAGCCTTTTTCCAGACTGAGCGAGCAATGGCAAAAAGTTTACTAACACAGTTGACAATATCAATTAATGCTCATATTTGGTTTAAAACTTATGAACACCTTTCATGTGAAAAATGAAGTGATTTCACTATTTTTTAGCTCTGAAATTCAATAGTTATTTGTATTATCTAATATAAGGTTTAACTGATTAATCTGACTAACCACGAAATTCATAGACATATTTCCTCATCATCTTTGATCGCCTTTTTGCCGTACAATCTTCTGTTATGGTTCATTTCAAGTTATAACTAAACTTGAAAATTGAAAATATTTCATTTGAATAAGTCAGAGTCATACGACTGACTGCGTGATTCGAACCGACTCAGCTGCTTAGCCAGAACAAACCTGCTTTGACTGACTGACTGACTTGATATGGCTAACTATGGGTGTCTAGTGCATGCATATTTCATTTAAATTGTAAACATTAACTCTTTTTAATCTTTAAATCAATTTTGGACTTTGAATTATTCGATAAATACTAATTTTCTTCTCGTGGACGAAAAGAGGTTTAAATTGGTTTCATTACCATTTCACGGTTACTCCTATGTGTGAAAGTCGAAAGAAATAGAAAGTAAACAGCAATTGTATCATCCGAACCACACGATGTGATAACTTGCCTCGATCTTCAACTAAATCAATAATTTGTCATCAAACTCAACAGGAATTATGAGGGATTAATTCTGGTCTATCAAATGTTAACGTTAACGTTATCAAAGTGGTAAATTAAATATAAATGCTGATGAAATGAACAAACTGAAGCTGAAAATATCCTGATCCAATAGACTCCAATAAAAATCCTTATAAACATCGACTTAAGCGTCTTTCATCCATAAGTGTTATCCTCAACTGGGAATATACCGTTTAAATCAACATTGTTTAAGTTGCAAATCGCAAGTGTTGATTGTTTTTACACAGCTGTTATTGTCTTAAGGATAGATAGTCTGTTCTGGTAGATTCTGGTTTCACTAATTTGCACCTAAAGTCAGATGTGAAGCATAAAGTCAGTATTTTTGCAGTTATCATGAGATTTGTTCAGAAAATTTAAAGGCTGGAAAAATCCTTTACTACTATTAATACTTATCATTTCCTTAATCAACATTTCCTTTCCTAAGAGATTCAGTACTTGTACCTGGTTATCATAGTATAATTGAATAATATTCACAGGTTCAACGTAATGAAGACTGTTTTTGGCCTAATTCAATATTATTAATCATCTGATGTTTTTATTTTTCATTCAAAAATATTGATTTCGTCATTTTATGGATCAAATGTTGTTGATCCTCTTATACAGTTTATTGTATTATGAGGCAAACATATCACAAAGCAATTGCAGTTCAACATACTGTGAAGTCAGTTTTTATTTTTGGTTGCTTACTTGTATTCAATTTACACTTTCAACTCTGTAATCACCTAATCAACTAATCTAGTAATAACTACTGTTGAACTGTCGTCATCCTGCTAATGATGCTACCGATGGTGATTAATAACAAACATGATGATAACTTGTTATGGGATATCTTGAAAAGGTAAAGATCAACCAATTGAACAGAATGACATGAAATCAGAAATAGCATCATCAGCACTGAATTATAATTAACAAATCTTTGAAGTACTAGTTTCACAATTAATCAATTCATTAACCTTGTTTTTGATTATTACAAAAGCTAAAAATACATTTCAAGTAAAATTTTTTGTTGTCATAATTTATCATTCAATAATCGATTAATTGATTGTATCAATTCTTTAAGTCCAATCTTATGCAAAAGTATCTATCGGTATCCATTACCTAAATCTGTGATTTTATTAAGTCTCCATAGATGACCAACTGTTTACTTTTTGATGTTAATTGTGATTTTAAGTAAATGTTTATCATTCTGTAAATTGTTGAAAATTGTGCATGTAATGTTTCGATGAAATTTAAAATATTAATCTATTGTGAGGCTAATTTGGTGGCCAACATTTAACTTGAAACACCAACTCTGTGTAGGCTAACTTAAGGAGTTATTTAGTCAACACCTACATGAGTACAATTTTAATTCACAATTTAAATTCAGTCCAACTAATGTTCTCCCTATTCAACAATTATTACAATTGTGAATATTTAAGCGTCGGAGTATCATCATCATCATCACCACCATTATTATCATTATTATCATCATTAACAAAAATTAATGCTGTGAACAATTAATGCAAAAGTAAAAGTGTAGGTCAGTAAAGGATATTAGGCGTATCATTACAATATGAACGTCCAAGATTTCAAAACATCAACTACCAGCTTCAAAAGTGATCGCAATTAAATATAATAATAATCACAGGGAACAAGTGATTAACCAGAAAGACTAAACTGTTCATCTTTAGGAAGATGAACATTGATCCATTGATGAAAGTAGATGAGTTCATCTCAACAAAATGCAACAAAAAAAACCGGGAAACACCATTCTTGTAACAATTTTAACGTCAAAATTTTTTGTATTATTGTTCATTTTTTGGTTGATTAATGGATGACAAGGAAACAAGTTGCCCATTTTATTACAAAGTATCAAACTCAAGATATTATAATCAAGTTTATTTACTGTTACTTATTAAGTGAACGCATTAAAACAAAGTAACTCATGAGCTGATATCTGCTGCAACCCAAAAGGTATTATTAATAACAACATCAACAGGCTAATTTAAGCTAAAACATCAGTCCTTGGTTATCACTTGAAAAGAAACCCAAAATTGCTTCATTTTACTTGGAATAACTCAACTCCTGATTGTCAACTGTTTTCAAATTAACATTGAAACTGTTCAAGTTTAAGGATTTCTGGTTTGTCACAATCTTCAAGATTAATATCAATTTAACACCAGAACCAAAAGACTAAAACAAAAAACTGGTTAAGCCAAGAAACTGGAGCAAATGATGCCAAAAATTGTAGACACTTTGATCAATGGAGATGAAGATGATGAAAATGGTGATTAAGATGATGTAAAAAAAGGAGACAAAATATCGTTAATTTTACCACTTTTTTAACTAAAAATTTTACCAATCTTCAGAGGAACATCAGATTGGTGTTTTATTTTTTGAGACAAAAAAGTATCACATTGACAGGTTAACCTCTCTGTGAGTTGATTAAATTAACTATAACTAATTTAACTCGAAGGTTATAACCAAAGGGCTGTTCCATTGGTACATAATCACCACAGTTTACTAACAATCAGTAAGTTACCTTAAAACAGTAAAATTTGGAAAACTGAAGCCAAAATGTTAACCTTTTTTTTTCATCTTACAGATTGATCTCACGATTGATTGAAACTAATTTAACAGTTTGACAGATTTCTTTGGCATGTGAATCAAGGATTTTACCATGAGCGTCATCATTCATCCATTCACCGGAGGTAACCAAGTTACTGAGAAGCTGATGAAGATTTTAAAGCAATCAGAATCAAAGGATCTCTCGAAAGTCAAGTTGATTGATAAACATTGGTAACAAAGAAAAGTGATTTTCATTTGATTTGGATAAAGATGCAAATGTTTGACCCAAAGGTTGCTAATGACAATTGGATTAATTCAATTATGATTGCATTTCCAGTCATTAATCAATAACGGTTAAAAGCTAAACGGATTAAGGATGGTTTAAAGGATGATTGTAATTTTGGTTAAACAAGCAATTTGTATGGCAAGGAGGAGGCTTAATACTATTGTTGATGGTTATTATTATTTATCATCAATTTGTTCTTGAACTTGATTAAATTTCAACTATTAAGTGGTTGAAATTAATATTCACAGTAAATAATAATAATAACAACAACAGCAATCGTATAAATAATAAGGCAAGATGATTGAAAGCAAAATGGTTGATAAAGTTAATCATAATCTCAATGTTTAAAAGGTTTTTTAAGGTGAAAGTGAAAGTGAAAGTTAACCGAATATGCAAAATGGTAAGGAAAGAAAAACATTGATTATATTAATTTGTAATGATCAATAGTGAATGTACTTTACGTCAATCATAATAATGATTAAAGGTCCAAATTGATGATGATTGGGATTGTTGATTTAAATGGGTCAAATGAACGATGATGATGATTTAACCGTGAGTTGAAGTACAATAAGCAAATAGTGAAAGTAAAATATGGGATAAACAAAAGTCTTTTTTACCCGATTTCCAACTGAATCAACTGTTTACTATCAAAAATAATTGTTAATTGTTGATCGTGATTTACATGAAAATCAGATCATCAATTGTCATTGTCAATGTTTGTTTCATAATAATCAATGTTTAATTGCTGTAAACAAATAGGAAATTGAAGAAGAAGAAAAAATTGAAATTGTTTCTCCCAAAAAAATCCAAGACTTGGGTTAAAACCAATGTAAGCGTAGGTATTAACTCAACCTATTTAATTGTATTAATTGTAACTCTTCTTCGTACAATCAATATTATCATCATTACCATCATCTTCATCATAATCACCATCAAGTCAACATTTAATCAACACCCAACAATTGAAATAATTAACTTGCTCTTCTTCAAACGTTTCTTGCTCTTGCTTAACTGGATCAACCCAAAAGATTGAATAACTAAATGGTCAACAATTAACCCTAAAAGGATTTTTGCTCATTCTTTGACCTTAACTATGTTAATCATTTTAACCATTTGACAATCATATATAGAGTTGAATGTTGAATACCGATCAATGTTGAATCACACAATTTAGCTAAAAGCTCAATTTCAACCTTTCATTTTCACCTGATAATTAAATTTTCCCATGATAATAACTCCAAATTTTAGTGATTATTAAACCATAATTGAATGTAATCGACAGTGAATCATTTAAATTGCAAACCTTTAATGAACTTAAATTTTGAAAATAATTACAAAGTTCAATTGTTTGAAATTTACCGCTAATAATGATTTTACTGATATTTCTGGTTAGCAACTAATGATCATTCAACAGCCTTGATTGATTGAGCTTTAACCTTTGGTTAAAAATTACAATTGTACTCTAATGAAGGTTGAGACCATGTTACAATCGGAAGTGTTTCAATCAATTTGGTCAGTTGAATGATTCATGAATTGTTGTTGATTCAGATGATAGGCGATCCTGATGAAGATAAACAACTGTTAATGAGAAAGTAAATTAAGCGAATCAAGTTAATGTGTTAGAAACAAATTGCAACACAAGAAAAATCTCATTGAGAAAATGTATTTTCATGGAGAAACTAGTTTTCAATTTGTTCCTGGTTAACCATGAAACTTGATTATGTCATCAACAATTTGAAGGCAGCAACTAAATTATAAACAGATTATTATAACTATTATTAACAAACAAAAAACATAAGCGCATATCAACACAATTTAATATACACTATAATACTAAACTTTTTTTACCATTTTTCAATAGCCAAACATCAAATTCAAACACACCTTATATTATTAGGAATGATGATGATGATGATCAGGACAGGCTAAACATTAATTTACTTAATTGTGATAAACAAATTTAATTCAAGGATCGATTTCAATTTCCAATCATTAAACATTAGCCAACAATTGTATTTCTGGTTTTCTGGTGCAATCTTTTCGTGTCTAGTAAACCAGTTTTGTTAGGCCTACAGCTTGTTTTAGCTTACAGTTGATTTTGTTTGTAATTTTTTCAACTCTTTGGTGGTTATAATCAATTTAAATTGTAATCGTCAAGTTTAATCAATTATTGAGTCAATTTCAACTAGAAATTTAATTTTCTTGGGTTACCATATTTAAATTGTCAGTGGAAATATTTGGTTAAGTTTGCTTTTTTTAGTTACCTTGTTGGTTAGTAATCAAAGAGTAACGAATCAATTTTTTGAGGTGATTGATCGTTAATTTTAAACAATTATTGTTGTTATTTAGTCAGGGGCGTTAAATTGACGATAATTGGCTAAGAAAAGTGCTTTAAATTTATTATAATTAGCTATGTTAACTGTATTAGCTTTTTGGGTAAATGAAAAGTCAAGCCTAGAGATTTAGGTTTTTTACCCATTCAGTTGGCTTTGGTTTTTATTTCATTTTCTGGTTTACCCTATCATTCGGATAATTGTAGAGATTTGTCTAACCCTTTCATTGTTTCAGGTTTATTCATTATTGTATAATCAATTGAGTAACATTGATATGTAATCATGAACCTTTTTATATCTGTTTGAAATGCAGTTACTTTGCATTGTGAACGATTAAGATGGTAACAGGTAATGGATAATTTGTATTTCAAATTACCACTGAAACAAACTTTCTCATATTTCAATCAATACAAACTAACTGATCAACAATAACAACAAATTGATTGATTAAAAGAGTCTATTAATGTATGAATTAATTGATAATTAACGTTAAATGATGATGAAAAGTTGGTTATAAAACCCAATGTTATTAAAAACAAGTGTTAATATTTTGCAACATTTCAACATTCACTGTTGTAATTAGTAAAAATCAAAGGCCATTTTGTAATTTACTAATGATGGTATTTTTCATGATTAATCTGTCTTCAGTTTCATTACTAATCAGATCTGACTAATCATGACAAATCAGTCAAAATAATTTTTTACCAGAGAGTAAAGTGAACCAGAAGTTGAAATGTAAACAAATGTTTGCTGAGCAAATTACAATGACTATTGAACTCTTACCTGAAATTTGGTTTACCAAAAGATGTTCGTGTCTTTATCAACACCAGAACGTTGATTGGGATTAACAATTATCCACCATAAGGTTGATTGCCGTGAATCACAGTTTATAATTGAATATGACTTGATGTTGAATAGTTGTCACAGGTTTACTGGTTAAACACATTTACCATGGACACTGGGAAAAGACGTTAAATGGTGATATTTTAATAGCACTTGGAATGTAAGTAAAATTTAATTGTCTAATTTAAAGATAAATTGTTTGGTTTCATAAAAGATACATTAGGAGATGAATAATGTAAAAAAAGAAGAGATTAAAAGGTTTTCTTCTTTGTTTTGCTTTTGTTCAATGAGACTTCTATTTTGCCTGAAACATTAGTTCGCCAAAAGATTACGATCAACATCATTCGCAATTAGTTTAATCACATGATCCAACCAGCGACACCTGTAATCATCAGTTGATAACAGTTTCTTCAAGTGGCCAAGTGTGACATTATTTTACCTTTGTTTATTTTACCTCCAATGCCTCAGTGTTTGGCTAAACCGTCTGAGTAAATTCATTCGCTGGTTGTACTCTACATTTGCCTGGCCAAAGACCTTATTAACCTAATTTTTTAACCTCATTTCATCTTCTAGAAACAATTTGGTTGATCAAATCAGTAGATTTTCATCTAAATTGGGTTAATTTCGATAAAAATTGGAGTCAAAATTGCCAACGGTTGAGGTAAGAAAGTTTAATGTTATTGTTATACTTCGGATGAACATCATATGGTTGCTCAGGCATTGTTTTACTTTGTTTCTCTCTTTGTTATACATAAAAGGTGGAAAAGGAAACCTGAATAACAACGTTAAAAGCAATTAACACCAAATATAATTGAAAAGATCCGCAATTAGCCGATAACACAGGAAACCAACACTATTCAAGAAAAGTAAATACAGAAAATGTAGATTCCAATCACAAACAATTCCTATGGTGGATAAGGCCAGGTTTCAAGGATTACAACAGGAAAGATGAAAAATGTTATAACAAACATATCAATGATAATAAACAAAAATAGAAAGATGTTTCCATTAAAATGAGAAACAGTTAAACTTTAATTGTAATGACAGTGATAACCATAATTTGGTAGCATTTCGATTAACCAGATTTTCGCAATAAATTAGATTTCCCCTTTCATCCATCATAATAGTTGCAAACGATTGAATAATCGACTTTGAATTTACCGAGATTCTATCAAATTATGGGTAAATCAATTGTTAGCAATTAAATAAGTAAAATCTGTACTGGTTACATTTTGATAAAGAGGGTCAAAAATAAAAACAAACTAAAACACAGGGTTAGATGGTGATCCGATTAGGTGTAAGAAATTTGAGAATGAAATTATTTTTTCAAGATAAAAATATAAGCTTGATAATTCATTGAGATTTACAATTATTGAGATGCATAGTAAATGAGGCAAAAGATTATGAGCCGATTGAGGGTTGATTGGACAGTCATGAAGTTCGCAACCAAAGGCCACAAACCATGGACGGAGGAGCGTAGGGCAACTTTTCTTTTACTTTCAACTTGACTTGATAACCGTCCGAGAATTGGGTTAGGGACTGCTGTGAAAGTTGAAAATGAGACGGACCACTATCAGAGAGTGTAATCTTCAGTTGGGTTATATAGTCGTATATATCAGTTGGGGTTGTAACGTTTGTAGTGTTTGTCAACGGTGCCAAATAAAGGTATTTTGCTTGTCCAGATTTCATCAGTTGCCATTTGGAATTGAATTTGTTCCAGTTAGTTTGTTGGGTATTTTGATCTCCACACTGTAATTGATAAGAGTTGACCGGTAGAACCAAGTTGAATATCAGTTCCTCCATTCGTGTTTTATTTGTAAGAAGCTGGTCAATCGCACTAAATGACAATTCAGTGGCCTTTATCGTTTCAGCTAATTTCTTTAATGCATCACTATAATCGGCGAAATTGGTTGGATTTGACTTTGTCGTTATTTGGCTTGACAATGTATTTAATTGGGAGATTACATTTTGATACAATTGGTCTGATTGTTTAATGTCTTCTGAGAAATTCGCCAATTTTGATGGTAATTGCTCAATGGCCTCCTTTTGGCCACTTGCTAATGGATCCAAATCAATTTTGGCCAGCCTGGTCAAGAGAATCTCGAAAGTTGTTTTGTTGATTGTATAAAGCTTAGCAAATCCACCAAATCCTTTGTTTTCAAGCTCTGCTTCAAACTGGTCTATAAACAGGTTGAGGATTACTCCAATAAAGATTAGGGCAATAATCAATGTTAACACATAACCACTAATCAAGACAATCGGGACTTTGTACTTTATTGGAATTGATGAATGAAAACGCTGCCAAGAATCGATTCGCTTTAAAACCCAACTGGCGTTTCGTGTCGGTGACCTTTTTCCATAACCTTTTTTAACGAAACCTCTTTTAGATGCCATCAGTGGAACAGAGGATCTAAAGGATTTGTGTATAAGTAACGGTTAAAATGTTTAATTAGAATCCTTGATACAATGTATTCAATAATCTCTCCAATATATATTGGCAACTATGACAATACCAAGACAATTTAATAATCACCAAATGCCATCATCAATCAGGGTTTATTACTTTGTACCGGAAATACTGTGAAAATTTTATCAGAGAATCAACATTACCATTCGTTTCTAATTCTGGTTATCAGGTTTACTTTCATTTGTTAGAGTCATAGCAATTGTGAACATTATAAAGCTTCTAATCTTATCTTATCGTTTATACTCAATTATTATTAATAATTATGGAATAACAGAGAAAGGCACAAAATATGAAAAAATAATATGATGAATATGCAAGAATATTTCCGTTTTTATTCCTGATTATGCTTGAAAATATTCAAAATAATCAATTTAATGACCAAATGACCAGTTGACAAAATCATTTTTGTTTCATAAAAATCATTTGTTAAAATACAATTTTTTTTTGTTTTCAAGTAAAAATTTTCTAAGCTGTTAACAATTAAACAATCTATCCTTTCAGACTAACAAAATATTCCTAATGATTTATAATCTTGTTTCTTTAAAATATGCTGATATGAAACAGAATAACATTTAATCTAGAATGAATCTCTATCAAGGATATTCTTTGCCTTTCTCTGATTATTATGTAGTTTAGCTAATCATCAAATGTATCAAAAATTATTAGAAATCTTATTCAAATAATGAATCCATTGTTGTACATTGAAAATCCGGTTTCTCGAGTTATGTTTCAATGTGTAAAAAAGTAGACCAGGGAAGAAGTTTTTTTTAAATTAATCATAACATGTTTTAATTATGATTAATTGTGTTAAACTGGGTTGACATATGAATGAATGATCAGAGGCAAAAAATATTTATATTATAAATGTATATTTTTTAGATTCCCGATGTTAACTCAATGTTTCAGCAGACGATGTTGAAGGTTGATTTGTATTCGAGTTATCTAATTCGATTTATTCCACTACTCTTAGGATTTTACCAATGGCGATTGTTTTTCCTTCATCACGCAAAGTGAATCTTCCCATGTGTTGGAATTGTGCGAATGGTTCCATACAAATCATACCACCAGAGCATTCAAGCCTCATTATAGCAATCTGATCCTGTTTAACAAATCTTGGTCTAGTCTGTTTATAAATAAGGTTAATATCAATAAAAAAAGAGATACAATTAACAATAAGGCTACATCATCATATAATGCAACAATGAAAACAATTAAAAAGCAATCAAACTAGAACATACCTTAGACTTTTCTCCTGATTTCTTATCAATCAAACATAAAATGGCTTTAACGGATATCTCTTCAACAGCGGTGTGAATATGGAGAACTGCTGAGTATCCTGAACATATAATTGATTTATGCTCTAGAATAACCACTTGAGCGTCAAAAATTTTACCAACATTACATGGAGTGACAGGATCACAAATTACAAAACCAGGGGAAACCTCCTCTTCTTCTACTCCTTTAAGCTTTATTTTTACATTTTCTCCCGAGAAAACTTGGTTTACTTCATCTTCATCACACCATAATTGCAGTATTTCAACTTGTTTACGGTTCGGCATTAATAAAAGTGTGGCTCCCTTTTTAGCAGAGCCTTGTTCCACTTTACCAAATATTACGGTTCCCATATCTTTGTATTTATCAACCACGGGTAGTCTGAAAGGTCCGTCATGTTTACGATCTAGGTCAGGTAATGTATCAATAAAATCTAGGAAGGCCGGTCCTCTGTACCAAGGGCAAACACTTTCTGGGGGTATATCGCGAAGAAATGTGCCAGCTAAGCCTGAACATGGCATAAAGTGAAGTTCTGTTTTAGGGTTGAACCCGCACCTTTTAAGATATGGAAGAAGCTTATCTCTACATTCAGCGAACCGTTCTTCGTTCCAACAAACTGTTGGATCGTCCATTTTGTTTATCAGTACAATCATAAATTTAACACCGGCAGTTTTGGCAAGCATAGCATGTTCCCTGGTTTGTCCTCCTCTTTCAAATCCAGTTTCAAATTCACCTTTTCTGGCTGAGATAACAAGTACAGCTAAATCAGCTTGAGAGGTTCCACAAATCATATTAGGCACGAAACCTTTGTGTCCAGGAGCATCAAGTAATGTGAAATGTTTATGTTCCGTCTGGAAAAAAGCTCTTCCAACTTCAACAGTTTTACCCTTATCTCGTTCCTCTTGGTTGGTATCTAAAGCCCATGAAAGATACCATGACTCTCTGTTTTTCTCCTTGGCTTCTCTTTCATACTTTTCCAGTGTACGTTTATCGACCATACCAGTTAAATATAACAATTGTCCACCGATGGTACTTTTACCGGCATCAACATGGCCAATGAAAACAACATTAACATGTTGTTTTTTAACTGATTTGTCACTAGATTCTGAGACTCTTTTTTTACCACCTTTCCTTTTTTTGCTCACTAATTTTTCACTAGTTGCACCATCGCCTCCTAGTTCAGCTTCATTTTCTTTTTCAACAGCTTCATCAGTGATGTCAATATCTTCTTCATCATCTCCTTCTTCATCACCTTCTTCTTCAATTTCACCGTCATCGACTTCCTCCCAATCGTCTACTGGTTCTTGTGATTCAACCTGGTCGGATTGTGAGCTGTTGACATTTGCACCACTAGATGATTGATCATTTAAGGCCCCTGGTCCAGAGGCTGAACTATTAGTATTATTAGTTACTGAAAAACTAAAACTTGAAGGCACAAAAACGGGAGCATTGATGTTCAATTGAGTTGATAAACCAGAAGACAAACCGTCAACGTCACCTCCTTTCTTTTCGTCTGACATGATTAACTCAATAATATTCACAATATCTAGAGATTCTTAAGAAAATTGTTGCTATTTCAATAAATTATTTACACCAAAAAGGCAATTTACCAAGATTCAAAGTGAATCTAGTGGAGCCACAATTATAAAAAGATCCAAACACGTTTACCATTAAAACACAATGGCAAAAGCAATTTCTTGCAGGCAGCAACTTTTCATGTTTTACGCATGACCCTTCATTCATCAGCGGACTGTTCAAAACCAAAACACAATCGGTTAAACAGGTAAGACAATTTCAGTTACTCGACTTTACTAGGTAACATTTGGTAAAAATGAGCCCAAACCTAAACACAATTCAGCTTATATTAGTTAGTTTCCTAAGCATTGTCATTAAAACGTTAAACAAGATAAACAAACTAAATATTCAGATGATTATTAACCAATAGATGGTGTGAGCAGAGAGTTAAATTCATCTCAAGTTGCTAATGCTTGAGGTAATCGGCATCTTATGAACAATTTCATGTAAGAAAATGAAGTTTCACAGTAAAATGACAATGTTAGTTTGTTTCTATGCTTTATCAATACTTTATTCAAATGTTTCAATCAAATATTTCAAGACTCCAAGCTGATAAAAGTTGGATTACTCAACAAGAAAAGTGTGAATGCAGGTGAATATTGATCAAGTCGTAAATCAAAAAACTGTTTTCGTCTTTTTCGTTTCAAATCTTTATTATGTTTTATTCAGTAATCTGTTGACTTAGTTAATGTTAGATAATAGGTTACTAGAATTTAATCAAAAACAAATCATTTCAATATACTACTGTCGATTTCTTACGGACTCATATTTAAAGATTACAATTTATACAGATTGTATGTATTTTAGTTGATAGTCATTCAATTTTACTGAATAGTTTTGATTATATAGTCATGCAGGTAGATTGGAATGCTAATTTAGAGTGAATTATTGCCAATTAGATTTCAGTCTCATATTCATTTTGGTTTTCGTCTTTGTTAATCTTATTCTTTGTGTCATTGGTCGCAGGTTTTTCGGCTATTGCGGTTAAAAATTGGTAATCTACGTTGATCTTTGGCAAAGTACTCTGATGTGCAATGAAAACCCTTCTCATGTGTTCATAATAGTCGTTCAGAAATTGAGGATGCAAATCTTTCGGAACATGAGCCAGAAAGTGACACAAAGATACCAATTCACCTGCAATGGAAATAAATACAAAATTGATAATCAAAAGATTGTTGTTAAAACGAAGCATATGAATCTCAATGTGATATTGTTTCACATTGATTTTTGTTCAATTTGAATATTTGTACTATTGGAAATTTGCCCTTCTCAACCGCTAATTGCTTACCTTTGAATCCTTCAATATCTTCATAAGTGAAAGTCGAGTCATGTATTGCCACTTCAATAGGCTTCAAATTAGCAGTTTCACACAATTGCATCCAGTGATCAATTCGTTCTTTCTCAGGAGGAATCTCATAAACAGGGAACGGAGCCGATGATTTCCTACGAATGGTTGAAGATTTAGACTTGGGTTTAGCCAAATCAAGCAAATGTTGGGAATCGGCTAATTGAGAGGTTGAGGCTCGCCGAGCAAGCTCAGATTTTATATCTGACTGAGGTTTTGTAGCATATTTGGGTTTCTCATGATCCATAGGAACCTCAAGCTTTTGAAACAATTCATACCAAGGTTCTTGATATGTTATCTGTTCTTGAAGGGGAAAAATGGGGCTCCAAGAAAACATCAATAAATAACATTTTCCTCCTTGAAACAAAAACAGCAACAATAAGAATGGAAATCTGTTTCTAATTTGAAATTAATTTACCTGGCTTCAGCATTTTATTGATGTTTTCCATGGCTTTGGCAGTATTCGTAACCCAATGAAGGCAAAAAGTAGATGTAACTACGTCAACCGATTCCGCTTCTATGTCCAAGTTAACTGACAGTTCTTCCCAATCGGCACAAATGTTTCCACAATGAAAGTTGAGGTTGGAGGTTGAATAATTTTCCCGAGCAAATTCAATCATCTTTTCACTGCAATCGAAACCAATGATTCGTGAATCGGGAAAACTGGAGTAAATCATTTTCGTTATATTTCCAGTTCCACATCCAATGTCCACAATTACCTTTGGAGAACTGTAGAAACAATTCAAAACAAAATTAAAGAAAATGGCTAATCACAATTAAAGTTGACTTACACATTTTGAAAATCTTTTTCCAGTCTCTTCAAGAGATATTCAGAATCTTTCTTCTGTAATCCATTGGATTTATCATAAAGCTGAGGATCGTTATTCATCTCTGACCCAAGATTCTTGTTTGCTGCTTCAGCCTTCCATTTCACCTTAAATATCTCAGATTTCCAACTGATTAACATAATTAATTTCCTCATAACTGTTTACTATCAATTTAACCAGTCTAAATGGGAAAAATCATTTCTATTCTGAGACCAAAGCTTCCAAAACCATTAAAAACCAGAGATTTCACCTGAAATAGATTTGAATCAAGACAGAATCTCTGGAAAATAAATTGTTTCCTTTTTGCAAATGACAATCTTTCTCGAGGAAAACAAAACACCGTTATAATGTCTACCAAGATCAAGTCTTTTTTTGTCCAGTTAATTAGCTAATTATTTTTACCTACAACACTTTACCTTAACCTTATGGAAATACAAAAAAGGTTAATCAACCTTTTGCCAGATTGAATGGTGAAAAAGAGTTAAAAACAAAATCAAAATATAAGCAGCTCTTAACCTCAAAAATGATATTCACCTTCTTCTGTTGGTTAATGTTAATTGCTGTCGTGATTGGATTTTTAATATAATCCTGTTAATCTACGAGTTCATCATTAACTTGACCATAACCAATGAATAGAGTTGGTCCATCAAATGGTAAACACCAGAAACCAGATTTTTTCTGGTTAGATCAGGCATTGAAAACATCGATGAATACAATCAACTGTTGTTATTAGTTAATCACGTCCATTATGATCAACAATGTTGCAATGATTGAAACTCGTTCTTTACCTAAATATAAATTACTAATTATACACTTGAAACGTTTCAAAAATAAGTAAATGGTTTCACTAATTTGATTTGATTAATTCGTTGAGCGAAAGTGACCATTCTGCTTGTAAAGGTATTAAAAGATGCATAATCAGAATCTTTTTTGTTTCAGCAAACTCCTAATTAAATGATTCCTCTTTGATTAACGGAATTGATCATTATATCGATAATAGCTTCTAAGTTACATGTTTAACTGTCAAATGTATTGGTTGTGAATCATAAGTTGTGATTAAAGATGATTACAGGATAATTAACACACAACTTCACTTTCGCTTTTTATTTTTCAATCCAATTTTACATGCAAATATTTTTTATCAAATAATCTTCTTCTTTTAATCAATACGAACCCATTTTAGGAAATATAAAGTGATGTTAATGTGATTAGTGAAAAGATTGTTACAATTGAAACCTTTTTATTTCTGCTTTGTATTCCTATTCTTGCATAAGTGTTTCAATCTTATTTATAGTGGCATCATATTTAATCGTGTTTTAATCACAAGAATGATTAAAATAATGACTCAAATGATACCAAAAATGAGCCGTTATCATTATCATTATCATCAAATGGCCTTAAGGTTTGACAATTTATTTGGTAACATTTGTCCTTTAAACAATGATTTATGATTATCTGAACAAAAAATAGAATCTCAACAAATTGAATTAAAAGAATTAACACTTTTTAGGCGAAATTATCTGTTATAATTTGTTAATCTGTGAGTTATAACCTCACAAGAATCATAATGATGAAAAAATCGGGTAAATCACCAAAATATAAGCTTTAGTTATTCAATTTTCACTGGTTATACAAATCGTCAGAATAACATGAATAGTTATTTTTAATGCTCTGAAATATCTATCATTACATTTGATTGTTTCCAGATTTTATCTGGATTATTTATTCTGTCCTTCAATTGTTTCACTGTGTTGATAATTTTAAATTAGATACGTTAATTGGACTGATTGGAAGCATTAGTTTATCCTTTTAAGCTTTGAGACTTTACGTTCACTCAATTTTTCTGATATAAAGATATCCTTCTCAATGTAACTCGGATAAACAATATTATAAATCAAAGGATATAAAGGAATATGATCAATGATTTGAATTAGTCAAATGATTAATTCAGTTGTGGATATAATTCCGTCTTATTGACTTTAATTGAGTCGATTTAGCGACTTAGTTGACTATCGGATTGTCTAATAGATGGCTGTGGTTATGCATTGTTTTTAATATCAACGGTAAGTCTCTCGATAAGAAACAATGGCGGCTATTAATAGAAACCAGTTATTTTTATGATTGGTGAAATCAAAATTGTATCTTAATTCAAAATAGTGTTTATAATTATTTTATGGTAATTAATAGTGAACTGTCATTTGGTTAAATTGGTGTTTTTATTAAAATTCAACGTTAAAAAATCCTGGTTCGGTTACAGCTTTTCTTTACGTGATGGGATCAAGAAGAAGCCTCTTTGTTTTACCTCCAACTCTAAATAATTTTTAATTTCTTCTCATCATTGTAATCACTTTTATCATATTTATCCGGTTCTGGTTGCCTCCCTGCTTGTTTTTTACAGGAAAATGTTTAACCAAATTGCTGAGATGAATATTCTTCAATTATCTGCTCTTCATTAATGAATATTCAACCGATTCTGGACCAACAAGTGAATCGAAAATGGAAACAAACCAATCTTTTTTAAGCTTAATCATATGGGCAATTTTTGGTATCAAACAGGTTAAAAAAGTTGTGATTTTTGTGGATTACAGTTGAGGATGGCAAATTTTTTATTAACTGCATTAGTTGATTGAAGTAAACTAAAAGTTCAGTTAACTGTTACTTTCATTTTGTTTTTGACTTGAAGTGACTTTGATTGGATAGGAAGAGGAAAAGATTCAATCATGCTGAGCCTTGATTCCAAGCCGAGAATAGTTATTTGTTTCATTTATAATATTTAAATCGGTAATTAGTTTAGGCCTGACTCATCATTTACCACTAAAATTAATAGTGTTACCTCAAATGATATTCATAAATTATCGCTATCATAATACATGGTTTTAAAGAGTGTCCCTGCAATACTGGCAACACAAGAAACCACAATTGACTAAAAGTTAAATAATAATACTTAACCTCAACATTAACATTTTATTTGGACAAAAATTATCTAAATTTATTTTAATTAAACCTGAAAGTGACTGATGACTGGAAGGATACAAAAAACAACATTTAAATAAATATATTTATAAATATAGATACTTAGCTGATTACCAACCCTGCAGCTGATTGCTCAAAGAGTCAACAGTTGGCAAATCAATACAAAACAAAGTATACCAGCAACATTGGCCTAACAAAGACATTTGGTTAAATTGTCAAACACCAACATCTTTACACCAACAAAATCAATCCTTGAATTTACTCGGAACCAGCGTTATCACCAATTAATCCAGTGTCAACATGTAACATTGAAAATTTAACCCAAACCTGAAATCATTACCGACTGCTTTCCATTAGCAAGTGATCATCTTTTTTGTTTTTGCTGGTGACAAATGATTAAAAAAGGAACCATCTTGCGGCTAAGTTGATCATTTGATAATAATGATAATCAGCGTGAAAACAGCAACAGAAGCTTAATCTTCTTCCTCCTCCTCCTCACTGATACCCATCTTGGCGATTTCCGTTGCGAACCAGTAACCACCTTTTTAATAAACCAGAACCAGTTAAAGCAAGATGAGTAAATATAACAAAAAAGGAATCAGCTAAAATAAAATTCAATATAATGATCATCATCACCAATAAAATTGTTTATAAATGTGACTCACTCTCGCAAATTGTACCCGCTATTTACCTTTTTTGATGACCGAGGGCAGTGAGCAAAATTTCATCATAATATCATCTTTTACTATTGAATTAATTGTGGACAGGTTAGCTTATTAGACTCATCTTTAACATTCAACATTCAAGTAAACACAAAATGCCTTTTATAATACAAAAAGAGGCAAACTGCTAAAATTAACATTAACATTACCGCATTATTGTGGTCCGTCTTTAACTTCACTATCACTTTCTCCTTCATCTTCCTCATCTTCCTCTCCCTCCGCCTTTTTAATATTTTGTTTCTTTCTATTTTCTTATTTTTCTCCCTCTTTCGCTAATCTCATTTATATAAAAGTGTTTCTCATCAACTTTGAACTACTCATTTGATCATTTTAATCTCATTGGTTAGTTTAGCAACATTTTAGACTTCATTGTAACCTGTGATTCAACGTCTCGCCATTTCCCTCCATTTCAACAACACCATATCAAGATAAAGGATTTTTTACCTTCATTTTCATTTCTTTATTTTCCAGCTTACACTTTCACCTCTTGATTAATACCACCGTCAACCAATCTCATCATCACCATGAAACGTGCTACCCTGTGTTCATTTGGAATCTTGGTTATTCTTGTTCTTGCCATGTCACCTGGAAGTGACGGAGGTCGTCGTAAAATTTTGATGGCTAAAAAATTGGCCGCTCTACTTTTACTCAACAAGAAACGTTACATTTTTGTAGCTCCATTTCCATTACCAGTTCCTTTACCGTGAGTAAAATTACCTTTTGTTTTTTCTTTTCACCAGTTTTTCCTTTCAATTTGGATAATTGACACTTAAAAATCGATCAATATTTTTACGGCCGTTACCATTATTGGACTTTATCGCCATGGTTTGGCGCAGTGTTTTATTCCCAATCTTTAGAGATGTTATTTTTATATGCTTTGGAAATTATTGTTCAGTGTATTGTTTTGATCTCGTTAACCTACTGATGGTTCCTTTTGTTCCCATTTTTAAACTGGAATTTGACAAATTACATTTTCGCACTAAGTTTGCATCAGATTCTTATTTTATGGACATTTTGGTACAAAAAAGTCAGTTCTTGAAGCACGTTGCGTCGTTGATGCTTTTTAAATAACTTGGACAAGTTATATATTTTAGTATAGCTCTATTAATCCAGTTTTAATGTTTACATCTAAATATTATTCAGTTGTAACTCTATTTTTTGATCTAATCTTGATCTATAGTCTAACATGAAAAATAGAGCTATCCTTAAAATCTGTCGCCAGATTGAATCTGTTCAAATGTTGAGGTCAATGAATTTAGTAATGGTAAATCAAACGATTAACGGTTTAATTAATTGAAGGAAAAGGTGTATCTTCTTAGCCACTGGCAATGCTTAGATCAGTATCTTTCTGGACTATTTTTGTTTGCTTTTTCAACTTTGAAACCTTACTAAAAGGGAAGCAAACAAGTGAAAGTTATCCTTTAAGGCAGAACGAGAAAGGAAGAACAATCATTAGTTTATCTGATCTTTTATTCAGATTCAATCATCACTAATTATGGATCAAGTTACCATTTAAATTGATGATTGCGATTGCGATTTTGTTTTTTTTAAGTTCGCAGTTTGTTTCATCAAACTTTTTTTTATTGTCTGAAGTTTGACTGGATTATGACATTTAGCATAACTCGTTTTTATTACAACAACCAACAATCAGATACGATTCAAATTGATTATCATTTTGATTATTGGTATAGTTTTTGTTTTATTTTTATTGTTACCTTATGTTTTTCAATTTATTTTAGACTAAGCCTTAACTTTTATGACTAAAATGGTTTCATTCCAGGAGAAGGAAGTCAATCATAGAAATTATGTATTCCTTAATTAACCATGCAAAAGAACTGATTGATATTCTTCCCTTTTTCACTATAATTAACCTTATTCTAATATTCTTTCTCTTTTCTTACCTTACAGAGTAATAACCAAAGTTAAACATATTATTCACAAGTAAGTTGAAATTACCTTTGTTTTTCTTTCGATTGTTGACAGTTTAAAATTAAAACTATTTTAAGATGTTGCCATTTCATTTAAATTAACAATTTAAAATAACTCACGCCTAAATCTAATCTAATACTTGTTTGACTTTATTTTTTGTTCATCAGAGAAAAGGTGCCAGTTCCAGTTCCAGTTCCAGTTCACCATCAAGTGACTAAATATGTTGCTGTTCCTGTCCCAACGCCTGAAAAATCGTGGCCAGAAGATTCATGGAAGATGCCTGAAGCAGCATCTGAAATTTCCTACAAAGTAACAGAGAAACGTCATCGTCCAAAGAATTTGGATAACATATATTCTGAATCCTCTCACAACCTCAAATATGCCGAAAAGCCCACTTATTCCGAGACTCCAATCAAAATTTCAGAGAAGTCATTCTTGGATTCTTATAAATTACACGACAAGTCTTACCTCGAAGAATCAGACAAACTTCCAGAAAGATTGTATTCCGAGGAACACATGAAATTTGATCTTAAACCTTATGGATCTTCTGCTGAGGAATCTTACGAATTACCCAAGAAATTTGACATCAAGCATCTTGACGAATCTTATAAATTCAATGAAAACTCTTATTCAGAAGATTTACTTTCTAAGTTGACCGGAGATTTGTCTTCAGTTAATCATGGATCAACAGACTATCTTGGTGAAGCCTCTGAACTCAGTGAAAGCTATCCAATGTTATCAGAAGGCAGTTTGACAGTAAAAAAGAAGAAGTGAAAACTGTCGATCGTTTTATTTTCAATAATCAGCATCAACAAATTTTTCAAGCCATCTTTTCATCCATTGTTCATCTCTTTTTGTTAATCCATAATCAAGCAACCGCCGATATAGCTCCATCGTCTTGTAAATATCTATCAATCAAAGCAATGATGAGAAGTAGACTTATGAATAATGTCTCTACTCTCATCACAATTGCTATCAAAATCATCCAAAGAAGTTCATACACAACTCTTTCCACAACAAACAATCAACCACCAAACACAAATCTACTTGATTATTACACTTGAAATCAATGTTTTTTTCACGTTTATAAATTGTATTTTTTGTATAATTGAATCTAATCCATTATTAGATTCGTATTGCTGTACCTCTACAAAACTACTTATGATTTACTCTCTATTTTTTATAACTATTTTTTTTGTTTTGCTCGGTTATTAGTAACCAAGACAAATGTATGTTGACCCTTTTGTTTCCACCTTAAGAACCCATTTTTTTACGTGTAAATAGATCTCATCTGCTGAAATAAAAATTCATCTCAACACTTTTGTTAATGATAATGTAAACTGAAACTAAATAATGTCTTAATTTCTTTATGTCATCATAGTAATTGCTTTTATTTAAAGTACAACATTTGAAAACATTAGTTGAGTTGCCTAAAATAGATGAACATTAACCTGTAATTAAATACTACATTGGTGATTCAATTTCAATGTCTAACTACATAATTATGATTATAATTGACATTTGGTCACTGTTTATAACCTAAAATTGAAAGTTTAATATAAATGGGTCAGCAGACTAAAAAAGGTATATATTTTAACTTTTTTGAGGGCCAACCTTATAAATATGAGCCAGTCAAACATGTTACTTATTTATCCATAATAGTAATGATAATTTAAAAAAAACCAACACTAATAATGAAAATATTTCATGCATTTTTAGTGTTTCAAACTTTTCTTTTCAATTTAAATTCTCAACTTTCACCTTTTTTTCATCATTCATGTAACATTACTAATTATAAAATACATGCATCTTCAATACTTATTGGTCTTGATGCAGAAAAAAAACAAACACCAAATTTAAAATGTCCTCGGGTCAAGTTGAGATGAATTTTTGAGTAGCTCTGCATGAAAGTTGTTTTTCCTGATTCCTACACTCATTAATAGAGTATAAAATGGGCATTTTGTTTTCAGATTTTATCTTCTTTATTATGATTTGGATGAATAATTGATTTGAAAGATTTAATGCATTACATTAAGGTATTTTACAATGAAAGGAAAAATAATTTAATCTCAAGCACCTTCAATAAAGCTTGAATGGTGTCCATTGTGAGGGTTAATTTGATATTCACAGATCAATGTTTGGTAAAAGATGATATAATTTGTTTATCAATTGTTGATTGTTACATACAAATTTCAATAGACATGAAGTAATTTTAAGTTTATTTAAATGTAATGTAAGCGTGCAAAAGGCCGACAGTTAAGATTTTATTGTGATAAAATCAATTCAATAAAAATTGACTGATCGTTGCAATTTGAACAATTTTCTTGATTTTAAACTCTTCTTGGCTGTCGGATTCTTTATTGTTGGAGGTAATTTGGTTGAATGGAATAATAAAGACAATTATGATCTCTTTTTTTTGAATATGTATTTCAATGGAAACTAAAAATATATTTATGGAAACACAAGAAAAATTATCATTAAATACAAATTAGCTTTCTTTTTTTATAAGTATTTACATATAATTTACCAAGTAAATACAATTACAATTTAGTTGTAGTTTTACTTTTGTTTTGTACGATAAATTTGGTGTATAATATTTGATGAATTGTCTATGTATACAAGAAAACGGCAAATGGTCCTAATGAAAGAATACGAAAAAAAAGGGAGAAATCGAGAAGAAAATCATATTTCGTTTGTTATGCGTGCTTTTCTTTAGAGTGCTAATTTGTTGATAATTATGATAATTTCAGATTTTAAATGTACGTTCGAAAAGGAAAGATGATGAATCCGACAACTTTTGATAGTTACGCGTGTCCAATATAAACCATTACAAGAGTTGTAAACAAATATAATAAAATAATCCAGATTGAAAAATAAGGCACTTGAGTTGCTTAGGAAGACATCATTTTCTCCAATACTGAAAGGGAAGAAAATAAAATTGTAAGATTAAAAGTTCAATAGCAATTAACAAGAAAAAAGCACATTCAAAGTGGATTATAAAAATGATGATCCTTTTATCTGTTAACAAGATCATTGAACTTACCTGAGCAAATTTATGAATTTGTTCAACCAGTATGGCCATTACAGCGGTAACACTGACATCAATTAATCCCTGAATGTAATGAACTGCTTCTTCATCATTTAAATCAAGACGGAATTTGTCCTGGACTTTCTTAACAGTTTTATCAGGTTCTAATGCAATATCAGGTATTGTTGCATCTACCATTAAGTTAAAAAGGTTGAGTATTAAATTAGCATGACGACGGAGATGCAAAAAAGCTGTATAACAAAGTTTCCTAAATGTTTGATAATGATCAGAGGTAACACCACCCATCGCTTCAACCATTTCACGGCTCAATTTCATTGGAGGTGGAAATGGTTTTGGATCACGACCCAAAATATACCCAAAGTCAACATGAAAAAGATGTCCTTTCTTGGTTAAGAGCAAGTTATCCAAATGACGGTCACCAACTCCAAGAAGATATGTGATTATACAATAACCAGCTAAAAAATAAAGAGAAAATTGGATGTAAATAAAAAAATTGAATTGATATTAAGACGTTTAAAGATAATTACCACAAGATTTAACATAAGTGTCCATAACATCAGGTTGAATACCGTAAGGGGCATTCTCACAAGGAGCAGCTTCACGGAAAAACTTTTGAATGTCAGCATTTTTAATTACTTCAGCTACCGGAAAAGATTCAATATATTGAACAAAACCATGTTTACAGCTCGTGGCCAATACTTTGTATGGAGTTAACTTTAAATCTAGATTTTCTCGTCGAAGAAGCTTATCGATCAATGTTATTGTGTGCAATATCAATTGATCTTGCCTTAAATCATCACCAATTTTCAATATGGCAATATATCGACCCAAATCTTCGGTAATAAAAGTCAGTTGACTAGGCATTAGGGCACTTTTAAATAGAGTTGCTGTTTCTGGAAGAATTCCGATTATTTTTACTTTAGGATCCAATGGTAGAGGCAAGCCTTCAAAATGTTTGAAATTTATATGGTAACTTGAACTATCACTGAGAAGAGAACGTAATACTTCGATTTTTTTGGTTCTATCACCTTTCTCTCGTGCGACGGCTTTCATCAAGCAAACAAGCTTATCGACAAAGCTCTGGGCTCTGAGGATAGTGTTGTATCTCCGATGCATCTCACGATCTCCTGCATAAAGTCGATCTAAGAATCGTCTCAACACAAAGTTATACATATTAGAAACTTTTTGATCTTTGCATGGTGGATTGCCAGATGAACTGCCTGCTGTGCAGTAGCCATAAAAATCTTCACATTCAACAACAAGGTACCAGTAAAAAAAATTGGCTAAAATATCATCACTAGCTGCCTTTTCAATCAGAAAGGTGGCAAGATCCATCTGTAAAAGAGAAGCATAAAATTGATGAGAAAAATTAGGGAGAAATAACAATAAATTTTATAATAAGATATTAATTAAACATTAGCTTACATCTTTCATTTTGTCTGACGGATAAATAGCCGCATCCGAGCTGTCAAAAGCTAGATTGTCACATCCTAATGGAGTAATGGAAACTTCAGAGGTAGTACTCATTTTACGGCTAACACTGTATAAGATGAAAATTAATTGATTAATGGCTCACATTTATCACAATAGAATGAAAAAAAACTTACTTTGATTCCTTCTCTGGTTCAGTGGCCAAATCAGACAGGGATTTTTTATAAGTTTTGAAACAGTCATTTTCAATAACGTCTAAATCCTCATATTTAAGAGCTTGAACGAGCTGAAGGAGATAGAGGATCAGATCCTACAGGGGAATATAAAAGTTGATGTTAAAAACAAAGTCAAAAGATTTAATAAGTTACTAAGTTGTGATCATAAATCGAAATAATCGAGATGAGCATTACCTCATCAGGAGCTTCTTGTAACCTTGAAACTGCATATTGACGGACAGCTGGATGTTGGAATGTAGGAGAAAGAAGTTCTAGTGCATCTTCAATGTCCATGGGCTCCCAAGAATATAGCAACTCAAGTGCTTGTTTGGCCTCAGTTTCGGAGTCCCAGTTAACACATTTCAAAAATTTGGTTAGAGCTTTTTTTTGATTCATTAAGTAAAATCTATATTTCCAAAGTAAATCTTGTTCGTCTGATGTAAGAACTTTGGTTGGTGGATAACTGACGATCATGTTAAGCTGATTACGCGTTTGAGCATTTGGTTTGTTATCTCGATCAGTTAGACCTGTTCGATCACTTCGATACAATTTGTGATGTTTATCCTCAACCAAGTTATCCAAAAGCAGCTCTGGATCAGGTACAACAATTATATCACTTTCGAAGCTTAATAGGCAGCTATCCTCTGCACCCGTTTCAAAGTATACCACAGTATGATTTGTATTATCAATTTGGATGGATGGAAATTCAATGGATAAGTACATTAGATGGGAATCCTTTTCTCTTTTAGTTGTATTCTCTATATTGACAAATGTTATCTTATCAAGCCAATCAATTTTGGGTATATGACCTCTGCCATATCGTTTCTTTAGCTGTTGAAATATAGAAATAAAGAGAAATTAGCCCAGAATAACGAAAAAAGGAGTAAATTTGGTGAAATGAAAATAAAAACACAAACCTTATTTAATCTTGCACTTTTACTTCCTTTATCACATTTACCAGGAGTGCCATCTCCTGAGTCAGCCTCTACTCCAGGCCAAATTCTGAGATCATAGATTCCCTGTCGAAAGGTTGAATGTTTACCAAAAATTGATAAAGATGTTCCACCAACAGGAATTGATTTTCCAGGCCCATAAGAATCCCAGATAGTAATACCAAGTTTAGCATCTTTCGGAAGGTCACTTAATTTTAACGGAAAAGTTAGCCACTCGTTCCAACTGACCATAATAAAAAACAATGGATAAGCGAAAAATTAGCAAGAGATTAAAAAAAGATAGTATTAAAGTGATATAGATAGAAATTGATATTATTCTCTAGATTAACAAACACTCTAGCCCAAACATCTTATCGAATTTGAACAATGTTCAACAATATTCGAGAAGTATAGGCACAGTTTGATATCAATTTGTAACCAGATTTTGAGCCAATTGAACATACCTCCACTGATCAACAAAATGTTTATAAGATGTTTGTTTAGGCGGACATAACTGTTTCCCATGGCTATATATATGACAAGATATGAGGAGATCAGCTTTTTTATCATCATAGAGACCAGAATACCGAAGCTTAGGATCATCCATTAAAGCCTTGAAGTCATGTCTAGATGGTGTGCCCTCCAGAGTGCCTCTGTAAACCAAAAAAAAGGTGGAAATTTATCAATTAAAGCACAAATTAATAAAGTGCAATAATAAACAGCAAGTCAAAAAGACACAGAAATATAATAAGGAGATTGCAGTAAAAAAACAGTAACAGATAAAATGAATACTAAAAGTGTAGTTGATGGGAATCATTAATTAGAGAAAATTGTACTTACATTTTGATTTTAAAATTTACATCATTTAAATCGCAAGAATATACATAATCAAATTTATCATGGCTAGCTTCCAGATTATTCATAATGAATTAAATAGAAAAGATTTAAGAATTAATCGTTTCACAAGAAAAAAAAGAGATTGTTTTTGTTGTCTCATTCGATGAGACTGAAAAGATAAACAGAGAAGAACTGACACAAGATCTCTCTTTCTCTCACTCTTCCACTTTCCTTTGCTCCTTCTTTTCTCACTTGGTTTTATTATCAGCTGAGTTTGATTCTGATATGTTATTATTTTGGTTCATTAAATTAAAATAAAATACAATTGAGTTTCAATAGAACAGCTATCAATTTTTAAACAAAGACACTAGACATCTCTACAAGTAGCTCTTCAATAAATATCTTGACGGTCAACTCTTTGACTACTATTGTTTCCCTGTAAAAATTTGACCAATGACCGATAACTGGGGCAGGTCAGTCGGTAAAAATTCTGTAATTTCAGCTAAGAAAGCCCAAAACAAGAACCTTTTGCATGTTCAAGCAAGATGGCGTCTCAAGAACGCTATCTTATGGACCAAAAGCGTTAATGTTTGTATTGGCTATTGATCCATGAATATTAAATCAGTTATAAGCTAAGACTTTCATAGTTCATTTATTAATTATTTGTGCCTTTGATCTCATGGGTATTTAAATTTACATTTATACCATTTTTAACCGTTTAATTAATTTGGTGGTTTCGAGCAGATTGGACAGCTTTAACAAACACTTTGTAAGCAATGGATTTTGGTGAAAACAAATGGCAAGGTAATTGAAAGGAAAATTGTAAACATTGGATAACTAGGCCTGAATAAATAGATCGCTCCAGGAATATTGAGAAATTTAAGGTTAAAGAGATCGAGCATACAACAGAATCAGGAAATTGTTGGGTAAGAACACAGTTTAGGTTATGTTTATGTGATTCCTTTAATCCACTGTTCTAAAACTATATCTATACTCATGAAGATATGATTAAAATGTCAATCTTGGGGAATCTCGCGAGGAATTTGATCAAAGTAACTCATCTGTTTTAAAGATTTATAAATAGCTTTTAAAATAGTGTAAGAAAAAAAAGATGAACTCAATATATATTGAAATGAGCAGCTGATGAAATCACCAATTTCCAGTGTAACTAATATAGGGATAACATTGACACAATTAACATGATAACAAACAGCTTTGGTCAAATGACTAACATTGGTAAAATGAGTTATAAAACATGAGAAAATTAAAAATGATGCAAGAAATGATAATTTATGATCCAAATGACTCGATAATGTTTTAAGGTTAGACTAGTTTAACTTTACACTTTATCAAAAGATAGTCATATTGGATTAAATTATAAACAGAGCAATTTTAGTAAAATATGAATGAAGTTGATTTGATTGTTAATTACGATTCAAATCTTGTAAAGGCTTACGTTTTAATCTCAAAAGCCATTTTTTGAATGAAGCCGCCATCTGTCAGTAAACATAAAAGTGCTCTTTAGTAACCATAGTAATATCTTTTATTCGAGAAATATTTTACTCAACAACAGCAATTTGCTTAGTGGTTTGTCTTTATTATTGGAACCTTAAATTTTTCCTCTTTTACCATCTCTACACCTTTAATTGTTTATAACTATTGACACTATTATTTTGGATCTATTGTAACATTTCCTTCAAAAGTGTAATAAATTAACTTAAATGTCTTTGTTTGGCAACGCCTCAACAAACCTTCAACCATCTTCATCATCATCATGGAACCTAACCGTAATTTAGCTTCAAAAGATGGCCGAGAAAAAACAGTTGAAACTGAAATTTACTTTTTGATATGCAAATTTTTGTCTCTTGGTCCATGTTCACGGGCTGCTCAAGCAATTAAAGAGGAAATAGAGGAACATCATCTACTACCATTATCTTACAATTGGACGGGTGAACAGAGAAGGTTAACTCTAAGCCAATATGAAAAGAACTTTCCTCACATTAGAAATGATCATCTTATACAAATTTGTTCTCGTATTGGTCCTATTCTTGATTCAACAATTCCACCATCAGTACCTGGTATTAATTCACTCTTAGGAGCTGGTACACAATCTCTACTTCGCACATCATCAGGTAAATTTCATCATGATCTGTTTTGTATTTTTAACAGGTCAAGTATGTGTGTATATACATTTTTGTTTCCTGTATGACAATCTATGTTTGGGATCATATCTTTCATTTGTTTTGTTTTCCCAGGTTTTTTTTCATTTATTTAGTATTTATTTACTAATTAACTTGTATTTATCTCTCTTTTTCTCTCTTTACAGTCATCAAATCTTCTAATTTAAGTCATCTATTGTACAGAAGACATCATGGAGCACCACTTCTACCCTCATCAAATAAGACTGCAAGCAATCCTGGCAATATTGGTAAATAATTTTATTTAAATTTCGTAACAATTTGATTTCTTGAAAATTTAATTAAGCTCACATAATTCATACGCATTATTTTTGATAAATTTGCAGTTAACATTTTGTCCGCCCGGGAAAGCTCAGGATCTTTTGCTGTTAACCAAACGTTATCAACTTCTATGTACAGTAAAAAACAAATGCACAAAAGGTACCTTGGCCATTTATCATCAGTATACTGTGTTGCATTCGATCGAACGGGAAAATATATTTTCACGGTAAGTTATCTGCCTACTCTAAATGGTTCAGATTTGATCCTTTCAATGGACACTCAATCGTATTCATTGATTTTGTTTTTGTCATTTATTTTACAAAATAAACTGTCGATTACTAAATTATTCGATATTTTAATCAATATTCTTCTTTCTTCGACAGGGTGCTGATGATTATCTGATAAAGATTTGGAGCGCAATCAACGGAAGATTATTAGCGACTCTTCGAGGTCATTCGCAAGAAATTACTGATCTAGCAGTCAACTACGAGAATACCCTGTTAGCATCTGGAAGCTGTGATAAAATAATCAGAGTGTGGTCTCTTAGAACTACTGAACCCATAACTATTTTAGTTGGGCACACTGCTACCATAACATCCCTCAAGTTTTGTCCTTACTCAGAGACTGAAAATCGTTTTCTCATTTCTACCTCTAATGATGGATGTGTTAATATTTGGCGCTGGAATGCTAATACTATTGTTTTTGACGCCAAGCCTATTAAATTTATTGAAAAAAGACACAAAGCGAATGCCCAGATTTTATGTTCATCTTTTAGTCCAGGAGGATCATTTTTAGCTGTAGGAAGTACAGATCAATTTGTCCGAGTTTATCATCTTTCTCCGCCAAGTGGTCCAACAAAAATATTGGAGATGAATGTCAACACTGACCAAGTTGATAGTATTCAGTTTAGTAACTATGGTTTAAAGTTTATCAGTGGCAGTAAAGATGGAACTGCTCATATTTGGTGGTTTGAGAGACAAACTTGGCATCGGCGTTTGCTCAACATGAATGAAGTTCTTCCACCAGCTCAATCTAACAGTGAAACCGAAGGAAAACCAAATAAAATTAGAGTAAACATGGTCTGTTGGACGTGTGATGATGCTTATGTGATAACAGCAGTGAATGATCGTTCTATCAAAGTATGGGAAGCAAACACAGGTAAACTGAAGCATGTGTTATCAGAACACGAAGATGAAGTTTTTGTGCTCGAAGCTAATCCAGTTGACGGCAGAATATTTCTCAGCGGTGGTCATGATGGTAAGATAATCATATGGGATGTTAATTTGGGTACATCTATGGCAGTCTTTTGTAATCGTATTGAAGTCCCAGGTGCGATTGATGCGAGAGGTGCAATTTTTGATTGCAAATTTTCTCCCGATGGTCAAATGATTGCTTCAACAGATTCCCATGGACACCTTGCAATTTACGGTTATGGTTCTCGTGATCGATATGAAAGAGTGCCTTGCGATGTTTTCTTTCATACTGATTATCGTCCTCTGATACGAGATGCTAATCACTATGTGATAGATGAACAAACTCAATGCGCTCCTCATTTAATGCCTCCACCATTTCTTGTCGATGTTGATGGTAACCCATATCCACCTCATCTTCAACGCTTAGTACCAGGTCGTGAAAATTGTAAAGAAGATCAACTGGTCCCATATATTGCTGTACACAATGAGCGTGGAGTTGCTGAAGTTTTACAGCCTGTTGTAGGTCCTGGCCAAGAATTATTACCACAAGCCGTTAACAGACATCCACCTCCTCAAATACAGCCTCAACTCCAACCACAACTTCAACCACAGTTGCAGCCCCGACCTCAGCTTCTACCTCAGCCACAGCCTCTGCCTCTACAGCCTAATCCTGCGCCACAATTACCATTCAATCGAGGATTAGTGCAACATGTTCGAGAACGACTTGCATCTCCTCAGCCACAACCGTCAGCTTTAGTTCCTCCTCAGCCACAACCGTCAGCTTTAGTTCCACCTCAGCCACAACCGTCAGCTTTAGTTCCACCTCAGTCTCCACAGTCTCAACAGCGACCCACTATTGATGATATGATTGAAAGGTTAGCGCAACAACAAGCTCGAGAAAGAGTAAATGTTGAACATGGTTATGCCGCATCATCATCGGTTAATGGTGAAGAGCAAGGACCTCAAAGGATGCGAAGTCTTTCTCAGTCTTTACATCAAGGACCTTCTTTACTTAGAAATGGCCCCAGAGCTGGTCAAGAAGCACAGGGTGTTCGTCAACCTGGAGCAAGCTGGCAATCAAGAGATAAAATGTCAACAACACCTTTAGGAGGCAGAATAGTCGTCGAAAATTTAAGGCATGGGCTTCTTAATCGGATGATCTACTCTTTCCAATTAGCCAGTCGAGCCGAAGAAAAACTTTATCAATCTGAATGTGAACGTAAAAGAATACCAGAAACTCCAGTTGCAGTGCAAGTTAAAGAAACCGTTAAATTGAAGCAAAAGAAGAAAGTTGTTCGTCGTAATCAAGATGCTGATAGCCGGCTAATTTTAGGTAACAATGAACCTAGTGCCTTGTCTCGAAACAGAGAAGGTTCTTCTGTTTCCAATGATCTCGAAAATGTTGAAGATTTAGTCTCAATGGACGAAAGTGACTCTAGTTTTACTGAGAGTGACTACAGTGGTGGAAGTTCAACCGGTGAAAGTGATAGTGACGGTGAAGAAGAAGAAGAAGAGGAGGACGAAGATGAATCCGGTGACGACGGAGAACGCAGTAGGGAAATTGTGACTCGTTCAGCAAGAACTCGTTCACGTCGTAAAAAATATCCTGAATCATGGAAAGATGCATGTCTAAAATTGATAAATGAGTTATGGGAAAATGAAGATTCTGAACCATTCCGTTTTCCTGTAGATTTTGAACAGTATCCAGATTATTGTCGTTATGTAGATACACCTATGGACCTATCAACCATCAAAGAAGAATTGGAAAACTATACGTCAATGCAAGATTTTATTAAAGACATGGAAACCATGTTTGAAAACTCAAAAAAATACAACACTGATAAGAAATCGCAAATTTACATAATGACTCATCGACTTCGCAGAAAATTTAAAGAAAGAATAGATGCGATTAGTAGCAGATCTTTGCATCGTAATATCCGTTCATCTAGAAAGCGCGATTCAAGATATACCCTTAGAAATAAGAGACAAAGGAGAGAGAATCTCAAATACGAAGATTATGTGACAACGATGCATACACGCAAGAAAAAGTCTAAATTGAAAAGGAAAAATGGCGAGCGTTCCAAAGAACCACTACATGTTGCCACAACAACTGCATCATCATGTTCTTCAGGATCAGCTTCTTTCTCACCATCAACATCATTTGATCCCTCTCAACCATCTACATCAGGACTCTCCTCTAGAGTTACTAGTCAAACTGAAGAAAAGAAAAGAAAACGAACCAGACGAAGAGTTATTCGAAATGATAGCAATGATGACGAGGATGGTGTGGTGAACGAGAAAAGTGTTCCTAGTAGCTCTACATCTGGTGTAAATGGTTTAGCTAATGGGGTCAAAAATACCGAGTATTTTAAATCTCTTGTTCAATCTGAAGAAGAGACCGATGTTGAAGATACTCGTACAAATGGTTTAAATCATCATTCCAATAGTGAAACTGAAATTGAGAGCAATAAAAATGATACTGATGCTACTGAAATTGCCGGTGACGATGAAACTCAAGATGCTATCAGTAACGGTCCCTGTGAAACTAAACCAGCATTACCAAGGAAAAGACGTAAAGTGAGAAAAGGTAACGTTGGTTTTAGGAAACGTGCAAAAACTGTTAACGGGTCTGTGAATGGAGGAAATAAGGTACGATTAAAGCTACCCAAGCCAAACGTCCCTATAAAAGAAGAACCTTTAGAGCCTAATGATGCATCTGATGTACAAGCTAAATCTGGACCAGATAATGCTACCGAAGAAGATATTTGTGCATTATGTGTTCGAAACACTCCACTCGGTGACTCTAGTACCTCTCCAATTGATTGGATAGCATGTGATTTTTGTCCCAAATGGTTCCATCAAACATGTGTTGTTATGCCGCCAGGTTTTAATAAGAAACGTGACAAGTTTAAATGCGACAGTTGTAAAAAGAAGACTCATTAATTTTTCCAAAGCCTCAGAAATTGCTTAATGCCCAGCCAAATTGATTTAGCTAAGAGCGAAACAAAATTCTAAATTCTATTACAATCTTTTAGTTTCGCATTATTTCTGTTCAAAATACCTACAAAAATTTCATTATATATATACATAACTTTTTTCTCTTCCTTAATCCTTTTCAAATTTCATTGTAAAATCAAACTTTCATCAATTCATTTCATTCAAGCTTAAGAAAAGAAACTGAATTTTCCAGCCTCAATCTTCGATTTCTAATTTATTAAATCATACACATTGTAAGCGATAGTTTACATGTATAGCAAAAAGAATGGACCAAATTGGAAAAAGCTTTTTGTCTATTCCATCTAATTATCCCTTCTCTTCTAATCAACTCATTACAAATGTAAATCAAGCTCGCAAATCTTTTTTATCCAGTATTAACTAAGTTTAAATCGTTCATTTTTCTTATGCATTTTATGACTCAAATATGAATGCTATTATAAAATTTGAGTCTTTTCAAACCAAAAAACAAAGTTTAACTTAAATAAAGAAAAATATTTTTAATTTTTACAGAAATGAATTGTTTAAACATAAGAAATACTGTGCTTTCACTCGAATAGTAAAATAATTTAGTCTATTTATTAATATATTGGAAACATGGGAACGTTATCATTGATAATCGTGGTAGACAAATGAGTAAGAGAAAACACGAATTTAAACAAGTCTAATATTCAATACAACAAGGTTTAATTTTTTCTAGACTTCTTTTTCTTGCCCGACACCGCAGATTGTTCTGTACTTTGTGTTTGCGCCGTGTTTCCTTTAGTGGTCCTGGATTTTAATTTAGGTATCATTTCGCACAAATAAAACAATACATCATCTCTTTTTTTGAAACGTGGATCATTACCAGGTAAAGTGTACCTCACTCGTCCTCTGCAATGCATCAATTCTTTATCCAATTCACGCGGATAAACCTTATTGGGTTCTTCCTTAACCTGGACTCCTTTAATTGTTTCCAAAACATCCTTGATCTCTTGCCAACGAGGATCACTAACACCTTTCTCTTTAGGCACCATTCTACCTCGCTGTCTTGATCTGTTACTGTTTATATAAGCTGGATACACAGTTAACCAATTTTTCTCGCCTATTTGCTCAGCCTGGAGATAAAAGAAACCAAAGATATGTGTATATGAGCAAATTTACAGTTCAAGATAGTATAAGATAAGACAAATAACAATTAAACTTACCATAATTTCGTTGGAAAAAAGCCTTAAATTAATATCAAAGTTAAACGAGATTACAAGCAGATCAGAAGAGAGAAGCTTCAAAAATTAATCCTCATTCACATGTGGTGACATCTATCTTCCCGAAAAACAATAGCTTAGCATGTTGAAGCAAATTCAAATAAAAAATGATTTCGATTTTTAAAGTCGAAAGTCCGCTTCAAAATAAGATCATTAAGTAACTTTAAATGTCCATATAGCCTAAATTTAAGCATTGAGACTCACAATGCCAGTGCTAAGCTAATTTCATGCCTTTCTACCTCGAAACGCAATGACTTCACTTCTTAAAGCAAGTTTATTTGCTTCAAGTTCAAGATTTTACCTAACATTAAATAAAGATCGTTATTTTACAGATTTTAAGTCTATTACACAGAGTGTCTATTTAGTTAACTAATTGAATGATAAAAAATCAACTGAAATCAAGTATTACTAAATGAGTTAATAAAAACAGCCAATATTTGGTCCTATTACCGAAGATTTGCCATTTTGCTTTCCTTCCAAAGCGAATCAACAATCATTCTGAATATTAATATGTCATATCAGTTTTAATTATTGATTATTGATTATAATTCAGTCTGTCAATAATGAATCTTCACGATAGATTTCTGATTCTTCACAGCTTCAAGAGTTAATTTGAAATTTCTAATTTTTAACAGCAAACTGTGAAAAAATTAGCTTCATTAGCTTCATATATGAAACTGGGTTTGAATCCGCTTCTATTAAACGAATTAAAAGTTAGATAATATATTATAAAAATTTTTTTTATTCCTTTTATACCAAAATTGAATAATGCATAACAACTCAGTCGATGAAGGCATACATACGTAAAAAAATGAACAATTTAAACTTAATTTAAGCTAAATCAATTTGGCTGGGCATTAAGCAATTTCTGAGGCTTTGGAAAAATTAATGAGTCTTCTTTTTACAACTGTCGCATTTAAACTTGTCACGTTTCTTATTAAAACCTGGCGGCATAACAACACATGTTTGATGGAACCATTTGGGACAAAAATCACATGCTATCCAATCAATTGAACAGGTACCAGAGTGACCGACTGGTTTGATTCGAACACATAATGCACAAATATCTTCTTCAGTAGTATTATCTGGTCCTGATTTAGCTTGTACATCAGATGCATCATTAGGCTCTAAAGGTTCTTCTTTTATAGGGATGCTTGGCTTGGATAGCTTTAATCGTACCTTATTTCCTCCATTAACAGATCCATGTTCAACATTTACTCTTTCTCGAGCTTGTTGTTGCGCTAACCTTTCAATCATATCATCAATAGTGGGTCGCTGTTGAGACTGTGGAGACTGAGGTGGAACTAAAGCTGACGGTTGTGGCTGAGGAGATGCAAGGCGTTCTCGAACATGTTCCACGAATCCTCGATTGAATGGTAATTGTGGCGCAGGATTAGGTTGTAGAGGCAGGGGCTGAGGCTTATTTCCTCCATTTCTTATAACTCTCCTACGACAAACCTTACCTTTTCTCACTTTAAGTCTTTTCCTTGGTAATTCTTGTTCAGTTTCACAGGGACCGTTACTGATAGCATCTTGAGTTTTATCGTCACCGGCAATTATCATATTGTTATCAGGATCACATGATTCAAAATTACAAGTACCTAGATGTTGCTCCTGTCTAACTATAATTTTATGTGCAACGCTTGTTCCTTGGTCTTCCCTAAATTCAATTGAAATACATGAAACACTAGGATTTTCAAGTTTTCGTACACGATCTTTCATCCATGTTTGCCATTTATCCAGTGTTACATTGATATCAATTTGTTTATTTCTTGCTGCTTGTATTAAGATATCATTCATATTTAGATTCTTGATTTTGTTGGCTGCAACAACAGCTTCACTATTTAAAGATTTCATCTGAATATGTTTTTCCATGTTCTCATGATTACATTGATTATTAAGCTTCAAAAGACGGTTCAGAGCCTCATCAGTAATCTTCTTTTTCTGTTTCATGGAATTTTCAAATTCAACAACTCGAGTCTTGTTCATCTCGATATTCTTATCTAGAGCATTATTAATCAGTTTTAACTTGCTCTTAAAGTTTTCATAGGTCAATAAATCCTTGGGCACAAAATCATTGCTATCTGCGTCATGAAAACAGGATACACATATCTCTTGTTGATTGTTTCTGTTAACGTATCTTGCGAAAAGCTTGTTACACTTGCAACACATAATTCCCATGTAATTACCATGTAAAGTTTCAGGTTCACATTTTTTACCGGGAACATCAGCATGGATATTGATGAGGTGTTGTCCACAAATAGCTTTATTGATGCATGAGCATTTCATGGTAGCACGACTCTTGCATTCATTGTAAAAATGGCAAGATTCAAGCTTGTCAAAATGAATAAAGTCAGCGTCGAAAATATTCATTTTACATGAGACACAATCAGGAATATTGGAACATGTTTTACAATAACAAGCTAAACACTTGTGTATCAGGAATCCTTGATCCAATGATAATTCTGATTGACAGGTGACACAATTTAGCTCAGAATTTGCCGCCATAACTAAAAAAAATGTAATAAATAAAAATATTAACGATTTGGACATATGAACAAGCTTCTATACTTACCAACTTCATGTAAGACCAGCCATTGATTCTTAATTAGGTAATAACTTGTTTAATTCAATCAGAAACTTGAACTGAAATCAAGGTGACAAGATGAACGCTTAAATCAAAATAACTCAATGATTAAAACGCGGTGATATGTAACTTTAATAAGAGCGCTGAGAAGCTGTGACTTATGCTATGTGTTTACACTCAATGGTCTCTATAACTAGAAGCGCGTCATTTGAATTTATGCACTCTTGTTACAAGCAAAACTGCTCACTTCATGAGCATATTCATGTTTTAATGAGCGTTAAACGTTACAAGTGTCAAGTTTAAAATCATCAAAAAACATGTGACTGCATGTAGAAATCGTGTGTGGATCGAGAAAACTGGAAAATATTTGAAGATTGAACAAATTTACAGTTGAATAACACGATAAATATAAGATGGAGCGTTAACATTGAAATTTTTCTTTAAAACATTTCTGTACATTTTTGTCATTAACAAATACAAGTACAAATTTTTTGACTATAAATCAATTGAGTGTTTTATTTTGGCACAAAAGGTTAATCAATATCTCTCCACAGGCTGCATTTATATCACCCTCAATATGATATCGCGTCCACGGTTGTCCAGATTGATTAATCTCTTGAATTGGAACAACCTGAAATCAAGAAAAAAACCCAAAAATTAGTAATTTACCATATAACTAGATAACCATTAATACACTAAAATGGTTTGGATCAAAGAGTAAATTCAGTTGATTATAATTCAGTCTGTCAATAATGAATCTTCACGATAGATTTCTGATTCTTTACAGCTTCAAGAGTTAATTTGAAATTTCTAATTTTTAACAGCAAACTGTGAAAAATTTAGCTTCATTAACTTCTAATATGAAACTGGGTTTGAATCCGCTTCTATTAAACGAATTAAAAGTTAGAAAATGTATAAAAAAATTTATTCCTTTTATACCAAAATTTAATAATTCATAAAAACTCAGCCGATGCAGGCATACATACGTAAGAAAAATGAACAATTTAAACTAAATTTAAGCTAAATCAATTTGGCTGGGCATTAAGCAATTTCTGAGACTTTGGAAAAATTAATGAGTCTTCTTTTTACAACTGTCGCATTTAAACTCATCGCGTTCCCAATTAAAATTTGGCGGAAAATCAACACATATTTCATGGAACCACCTGAGACAAAAATCACATTTTATCCAATCAATTGGAGAGGTACCAGAGTCACCGAGTGGAATGTTTCGCACACATAATGGACAAATATCTTCTTCAGCATAATTATCTAGTCCAGATTTAGCTTGTACATCAGATGCCTCATTAGGCTCTAAAGGTTCTTCTTTTATAGGGACGTTTGGCTTGGGTAGCTTTAATCGTACCTTATTTTCTCCATTAAGAGACTCATGTTCAACATTTACTCTTTCTCGAGCTTGTTGTTCTTGAGCTAATCTTTCAATGATATCACCAATAGTGGGTCGCTGTTGAGACTGTAGAGACTGGGGTGGACTATTTCTCACTTTACGCCTTTTCCTTGGTAATGCTTGTCCAGTTTCACAGGGACCGTTACTGATAGCATCTCGAGTTTCATCGTCACCGTCAATTATCATATTGTTTTCAATATTCAAATTGGATACAGAAATGGCCCTTGAAATCAATTCCGATTAAGATTTTATATTAGTGGATCGAGAAAACTGGAAAATATTTGAAGATTGAACAAATTTACAGTTGAATAACACGATAAATATAAGATGGAGCGTTAACATTGAAATCTTTCTTTAAAACATTTCTGTACATTTTTGACATTAACAAATACAAGTACAAATTTTTTACTAAACAGTCTTTTCAGTGAAAAGTTTTCACACTTATTTTGACCAAAAAATCAGAGCCATCTATTAGTATCGAAACTCTAGCCCTAGAATAAATAGTGCTAGGATAATTTAAATAGTACTCTCGTCTTACTATTGGCAATATAATAGACGACGCTGTTTTTTTTTGTCAAAATAAGTGTAAATCAATTGAGTGTTTTATTTTGGCACAAAAGGTTAATCAATATCTCTCCACAAGCTGCATTTATATCACCCTCAATATGATATCGAGTCCACGGTTGTCCAGATTGATTAATCTCTTGAATTGGAACAACCTGAAATCAAGAAAAAAACCCAAAAATTAGTATTAAATTAATAATACATCATATAACTAGATAACCATTAATACACTCAAAATGGTTTGTATTAAATTTACCTGATGAAAGTGGCACAAACATTTACCAGGATAGAAGTCCTTGTAACGGGAAATGGTCATATTATAAGTATCAACAACGGCTATATTGTGACTCTCGGCCAGTTCAATTAATCGTTGATTATGTAGCGCCAGTTTTTGCTGTTCATCCTGAAGTTAAACAAAAAGAAGAAAGATTGAGTTATTGCAAATAAATTGATACAAGTTGGAGCTCTTTTAGATAATTATTAATAAAAGATAAACGATTCCTTAATTGAGACTTGTTGAGGAATTATGTTTATTCTTGATATCGGTTATATTGTTATCGATTGGTAAACATCATAATTGTGATAGAAATAAATTTGAAGCGATTTGAGATCGAGGGCTTGAATAAAGAAAACTGTCAAAATTTTTCCTTCATTAAAATCAACAAATTTTTTGATTTTAGCGGCATTATTGCTGAAAGCGCAATCTATTGGTGGTCAAGCTGTACAGATTGAATTGGTAACTTCAAGCTGTTTGATCAACAACTTGTTTTTTGATGATTAACTTATCTTAATTAACTCATCTTTTCCTTTCGACATTTTTTCTTCATTTTTACTGATTTTTTGAGTTTCTATGTCAATGTTATCTAGGATTTCCTCAAAGTTCAACTCTTCTCTGAACGGATTTTATTCATCAAAAGGTGAACTGAAAATTTGAGTGTTAACATTTCGCTTTTTATTCCAGGATTAGTGTTTATGTTGCTATTACCATTATTAAAATATCCTCATGTGAGTTTATTCATGTTTGAATTATAATAGCAATAGTCAATGTTTTCCATGTAACTGGGAGAAACATCTTTTCCCTGTAAAAGCTAACAAATTGATTGTGGAACAAAGAAGATGAGAATCTCATGAGAATGATGAATAATCATTAAGATTATGCATCACCATTTGAATAGCCATTTGTATAGAGTTAATAATACATCTGAATTTGACAGATTTACCATTCATTCATTCAAATTCATTTCTATTGCTCTTGTCATTAGCTTTGGCGTCCTTTGCATCCTCAATTGTTTCCCTGGCAAACAAATTATCCATTCAAATGAGTATAATTAATATCATGTCAACAGTAATTATCATTACAATGAGTTACAATCAAACAATCAACAAGTCTAAAAATTAAGTGATTAAGATGTGAAACTAAAAATTACCAGTTTTCATTGAATACAAAACAAAAATCCAACAATTTTTCCAAAAATTGCAGTCTAGCATTAAAATACTCAATGCAATGGCACATTTGACGAAAGAAACAAAAAATATTCACTGAAAATACGATAAATTGTCTAGAAATTGGTTAATTATCCACCAATGATGAACAAATTAGCCTCTCAACTGTATCAATAACCATTTGGCTTATTTTCAAGTGTCGATTCATCCAATATTTGTAGTTGTGAATGAGACTGAAACTAATAATTGGACAATTGAATGTGAAATATGAAGAAGAAAAGGAAAATTATCTAAAAAATTGATTATGTTTACCTTTCAGTCAACAATACTAGAATAAATTGCAATTTGATTGTCAAAATTGTGGATAAAAGAGTCGAAAAAATCGATAAAATTGTCAAAAAGCAAAAGGGAAAATTTTTGTCTCATTCATTTGCAAGAACCCAAAAAAAGTTGAAACAGATTATCGGAAAATTGCAATTACTTTAAATACTTTTGACTAAAACTAATTGATTAACAATCATCAAGTATACATCAATTTTAGGTAAAAATTGCCCTTCAGTAACCCAAACCTTTTCTTGACTAACCAAGTAATTGACAAAAAACAGAGGTAAAGTAGGGTTGATATAGAAAGAAAGTTGCTTGATAAATGGTTAAAAGCACGCAAATGTTCATTAAATTAAAGGTAACCTCGATAGTTTCAACCTTTGGTGAAGCTACTCTTTATTAGATTACTTATGCATAAATAATGCACTATCAAGTTGAAGACTATGAAAACAAGAGCATTAACAATTTAACTGTAATAATATTGAATATAAATTATCAAAAGCCATTTTAAAATTGTTGCTTTTAATGAAGCACAACAAAAAAACCTTTGGACTGGGAAAAGATAGCAAATTTGGTAAACATTGAAACAATGAAAACTTGACCAATCCAAGAAGATAAATTAAATGTTCAAATGTATAATGAGCCTCTTGATGTTAAACATTACAACCAAATTGAGCAAATACAATTGACCATTTATCTAAAAATTTAACATTTACCTTTGAAAACAATGAGCTTGCTTCCCAAGCCTCCTAATAATCCAAACATGTTTAAAGCTTGAACAATGATATTCAATTTTTTCAACTGTAAACAAATTCCATGATTTGACACAATTTAAACAAACACTTGCCTGATATTTGGCGATAATAAAATTAACTATCGATGAACAATTAAAATAAACGATTGAAATAAACAGTTAAACAGTCAACTGAAAGCAATACATTTGTTTCCAACAGTGACAACAGCGTTTAAAATGATAAAGCGGCCTTTTCAAATTGTGCTTTTTTAATTATCAAAAATTACAATTCATAATAATTCAAGAATAATGTCATTTAATCATTAATAAGCCTTTGATTTTACAGAATTTAAAGTCTACATGAAATGAGTTTAATTGCTTAGTTTCTCTTCAATTGAGTGAAGGCCTGAAATTTTAAAGCAAAGTCACTGAAATGATATGAAAAGATTTGTCTATTTCTTGAAGCTGTGAAGATTCTGATGAGCGAGAAAATGAAAAATGAAAATCTTTTCTTTTCCCATGTAAACCGAAATGCTTTCTGTTGGCAAGAATCAAAAATAATACCAAAAGCTTTCATCTTTTCCAGGTTAAGCCGAGAAAATATAATGCATTTCTTATAAATTATCAAACAGAATTGCAAGTTAATGAAGATAACTTTTCCTTTGGTGAATGAATAACTATTGATAACATGAAAAGTGTAAAGATATGAATCATGATTGTTAATCTTTTACCTTTAAATTGTTCATATTGACTCCATCAGGGTGCATCAAATAAATTATTCACAATTATTCAGCTAAAATGCTGTCTGATCATCCAAACATCCATTATAATGGTTAATAATAATAATAATAAAATCGATTGAGAAAAATTCTTTTTTCCTTTTACAGTCAAGCCTCTCTAATTTGGACGTAGTGAGAATAGATTAAAGTCTATTTAACAGTCAGATACGCTTATTTTAGCCAACATTGGCTTTGTTTTTGTTTTGTTGATTGGAGCTTTGATCTTTGATTGGTGTTTTTTAATTGCTGGTCGTAATTGGTTGGACTGACGGTGGAAAATTCAATTTGATTGACAGTAAGTTACATATTAAATTAATTCTTTTTTACTCAATTTATCTTTTTCTTATTATTTACATAGGATTTTCAAAGGAGTGGAGCAACAATGATATGGATGGTTTCAATGGATTTAAATTTAGTGAAAACGATGAAAATTAATGATTGACTTGATAATTGAGGAACAGTTGATAATGACAACTATGTTAATGGTTTAGATTTTTTATATTATATTTTTTCTTGTCTTTAAAGACTTCTTGTTTCACAGACATAAGAGTTATGATCACTAATTGTCATAGCCTGTAAATATTCAACTAAAGTAGGTTTATCTTGAGCAATTTCTGGTAAACTGTTATAAATGGTCAACAATTCCTCATCTTTCTCTTCAACCATTTCTTCATCAACTGCATCAACCTCAACACTTTCAACTCTGAATTTTGCATGGATCCAGCAATTCTTTATCGTTTCAATTGAAACTTCTGACCACGCCTCTGCGATCCAACAAACAGCATCAAAAATAGTTATTTCTTTAACTATTGAAAGTGGATTAGCATTTTGTTCAAATTTAATGAAGATTCTATTGAATAGAGCTTTTAGGTATTTATCTTTGAATGATTTAATTATTCCACAATCTAAAGGTTGAAGATAACTTGTAGTTCCAGGAGGTAGCCAGATAAACTCAATATTTGGAAATAGATCTTCATCTATCTTGTGGCCAGCAAAATTATCAACAATTAGAGCAACTTTGAGATTATTTTTCTGAAGCTCATTATGCCAAATTTGAAGGTAAAATGTGAACAATTTTTTGGTCATCCAAGCTGCTGAGTTTGATTGATAAATGACATCCAAAGCCTGTAAATGTTGTTGGTTTCCTCTAAGAGCTTTGGGATTGCGTGATTTACCTATTATCATTGGGGTCAATTTATCTCCAACAGAATTACAACACAAAGCCAATGTAACTCTTTCTTTGTAAATTTTAGTTCCGAAATGAGGTGATTTGGAAATGAAATAAGTCTTGCTTGGAAGTTGTCGATAAAAAATAGCTGTCTCGTCCAAATTGTAAATCATATTCGGTTCATATTTGTTCATTATTTTAGGAATCATATTTTTGGCGAAATTTTCAACAGCAGCGAGATCAACACTTGTTGATTCACCATGTAGTTTTCCATGTTTAACTTTACACCTTAATTTGAACCGATGAAACCATCCTCTTGAAGCTACAATATTTACTTTATATTCGTTTGCCAGTCGAGCCGCCTTTTCTCTTATCATCAAACTTGTAATTGGAAATCCAACATTTTGCATTGATTGAATATATTCAACAATTTTTTCATCAAAAAAATTTACTGAATCAACAATCCTAAAAATGACAAAAATTCAATCAAAATGAAACTCTTATTGAGACTTCATGACTAACCTTTTTGAACGTCCTTTGTTTTTCTCAATGGCACTTTTTACCTTTGATTTGTTATTAATTATATTATGAACAGTTGATTTACAGACTTTGAACTTTAAGGCAATCTGTTCAGTATTAAGATTCTGATCTTTGGCCATCAAAACTTTATTTTTTTCACTATAATTCAAATTACGACGAGGCATGTTGAAGCTTCATTAATAAGAGGGATAAATGAATGGACAATTGTCTACTCTGTTGTCTTAGCAACGACTAACTTTGAGAGGCTCCAATTTTGAGAGGCTTGACTGTACTTGGAAAATCATTTCTTTGTGAATCATTACAATCATCATTTCTCAAGATAATACTAAATAGTTAACCACTAATGATGACAATAATGCCATTAATAAAACGAAGAATAAAATTTCATCCAAAAATCGACTTTTAATATCGACAATAAAATTATCTAAAATGAGGTTTGAAATGAAATTTGTGAAAATGTGAGCAAAAGTTGAGATTAAATTTCAATCATTTAACGGCAAACTTTTGATGGAATCAGCTTCAGGGTGAAATCAATATCAGAGTAACAACAAGGAATAACAAGACAAATTTCATTTCAGTTGAAAGGTCAAAGTTGTACAAATTTTGATTTCATTTTTTGGCGATTCTTGATTTAAAGTGAAAGTGAAAAGATTGAAATTTTTTTCCTCCAAAGAGGGAGAAAAAAGATTTACATGGAACATGATATTACATGGAATCTCATGAACGAGCTTTTTTACCCGGAAAAACATTGAGGGTTATCTTTTTCCGTTCATCATTTTCCTGCGGAAGTTAATTTCGGAAGTTGATTGAGAAACAGAAAGAGTTGAAAGTTATATAACATGAAGTTCATTGAAATGCAAGAAAAGCAAAAAATCACTCAAAATTTTACTTCCAATAATGATTATTGTACTGTTTATTGAGCGGATATTATCATGAGTTTGTCCAGATTTCAGGTTGAAATGGAAAATGTAAAAATGAAGAAAAATTGAAATTAAATTGGAAACAATTGCAAGGGAAAATGATCATTTGGTTTGAGGATAAAACTCGAGATTTGGTGAAATTATGTTTCCTTCATTTTTCAACCATTTCAAGTAAACAGAAAATATTTACATCTTTATCATGTTCTCAGTAAACAATGAAATCTCATGAAAAACTATCCTCAACTCATTGAGATTCATTGGCACGATCAGAGTTGCCAGATATTAAAACATGAAACAGTTTAAATCGCCTTCAATTTAATGATAATTTTGAGAAAAACTTCAAGTTCTCTTTCAGTTTTTTTCTCGTCAAATTTGCATTTTAAAGCAATTAATTTAACTTGAAACTTCGCAAGTGTTTAATAGTGAAAATAAGTATTCATTGAGTTCGCCGAGAATTTTATTGATTACATTTTCATGCAATTCCAACGTTTAATGAAAAGCCTTTAAATCTTTATTCTCAAGATGAACATTGTTGTAGCCAATGAACAAGAAAGTTTTAGGTTTGATTTCAACAATAAAACTCAATGTTGAACAAAATAATAGTTGAAGACAAATGATGAATATTTTCAAATGTTATTGTTCAGATCATTTCAACTCATTTCCCAGAACGAGTTGAAAAAAGCAAAATTCTGTCCAATTATTGACATTCTATGTGGTTAAAGATACAATTGAATCCTGTTTAATGAAGGAAGACTTGGATTTGATGTTGGGTTAAACGCTTGAAGCTAATCATTCAATGAACCTTATGGACCTTATTATCGTATTATCTGTAAATTTTCAGCAGATTATCATTCGATCGAGTTGATGAGCTTTTACTTTAAACATGAGTTTGGTTTCATCAAATCGATATTATCTATTGAATCTTTTAGTAAATCAATGTTCACATATGCATTTGCTCAACATTGACTTGAGATTTACCTTTGAAAAGGAAAGTTTGGATAAAAAGATAATTTAAATTTCAGTTTTGAACTTGACCCTTTCTTTTTGGTGTGTAACTCTTCATCACTTGAAAAGTGCAGAATATAATTTGATGGATTCTTACCAAAGATAATGAATGAATTCCGTCAATTTTCTGATGGAAACCAGCGCCCAAAGTTTTCATGATAACCTTTATTCCTGTTAGTTGAAGGCTGTAAACAGAAGCCAAGCATGAAAAAGAAGTAAAAGAAACATGAAAATTACATAAGATAATGAAATAAATAAACAAACGTGTAGGCAAATAATCAGATGGAAATGTGAGAAAACTCGAATGTTCGTAAACTGGGGATAAATTTGAACATTTGAAAGATTGCCAGATGAATTGAGAATTCAGTGTTTCACTCATTTTTCCCTGTTTTTTCTCTCTTGTTTCACTTTTCTTCTTGTGGTAAACCGAATAGTAAATAAAGGTAAAAGAAGATGAAGGAAAACAAATAAAGGCAATTTTCAAGGTAAACTTGTTTCATTTGATTTTTTGTTTTCTTTCAAAGTAAACTTTTCAATATTCCTGTTGATTATTCAACCTTTTGACTTGGTAGCATTTAGAATGTAAACTTTGCAAGGTTTTTTTTTGTCTTTTCTTGAAATCTTGATGAACAACTTTACTTCATGACAATTCTTCTTCTCCTGTGAATTGTCTTGATTGAGAACATTTTGGGTTGCAAGTTGATTGTTTGAAACAGTTTCACTTGTCTCAAATGGTTTTAGTCAGTTGTCTTGTGATCAGTGGAAGAAGGTGAAACAAGAAGAAGAAGAAAAATGAAGTAAAGTCTTATTCTGTTCGATTCAGGATCAGATTAGTTCAACCTTTTCTCTCTTCTTCTTCTTCTTTTTGCCTTCTTCAGTTTTCATCATCAACACTGATATAATAAAAGCAATAACAGATAGTAATAGACAAGATTGTTGAATGCATTTATCTTTTTACCGTCTTAACTATTCAGAGCAACGGAAATGGGCTTTGAAGATGAGGATGAAAATGAGGATGAAAATGAAGATGAAAATGAATAACAAGAAATGGCAACTTGAGGTTGAAGCAAAGTTGAAAATGGAAGCTAAAAATCGCTCTTTTTGTGTTTCAAAAAAAAGTGTTGTTGCACTAAAAGCTTTTTCAATAAGCAATTGGTAATGAGTCTTTTGGATGAAACTGTTCATCTGATTGATAGAGTTTTCAGTCTTTTACTGTTGTCATACCTTGAAAGGCTTTGAAGGAGTAAATTAATGTGCTGAGATGCCAACCATTGAACACCTCCAAATATCAGCACAGTATCACTTGTGTTTGCCAGTGGAAGAGCTCTGGAAAGATGGATAAAGATGGTTATTGGGAGTGAATTGGTTGCAAGTAAATTTATTCATTCACTTGTTTGGTTCATTTATTTTTTACTTGTTTAAACTTTTCTCTTTAATATTCATTGACTTCACAGGTTTACATGTTGATCAGTTGTTGCTGTGTAAAGGGTTGTTACTTACTTTTCAATGAGCTCGTGAACAGTTTTATCAAAGGTTAACCTTTTAAATGATGGAAGCCAAAATTTTGGGTAATAATTGAAGCCAATTAACGTTTTACCCTGATTCAGTTTATCATAGATCCGAAGCTCGTGTGTCTTGTTACCATCACTTAAAGAGCCATTCAATTTTTCCATCAGATAATTCATAAGACCTCGATTAGTTGAATCACCAATGAACAAAATCTGTTGAAAGAAACAAAAATTGCCGCGAAATGACACTCAAGTATCAATATCAATAATGAAACAAATAATAAAAATAAATGCAAATTTTCAATGTAAATATATGATTTCAAAAATAAAAACATTTGAGTTAAGAAATGAAAATAAAGAGAAAAATCATTTCAATATCTTTCAATCATTGGATTCATGCTTAATATTAGCTATTAGCTCATAAAATTACACCAATTTGATGATTATCTTGTAGCTGCTTAGGGCGAAATCGATTGATGTCAGATTTTTTTGCAAATAAAAAACTAAAATATAACTTTTCTATTCAGATATAATAATTAGTAGAACCGGAATAGTCAAAATTTCCAGTTTCATTTCAAATTCGTTATTGTTTTCGTTAGTGAAAAATATCCGATTTTTGGACAGTCTAAAAATGCTCGATTCGATTGAAACCATAGTAAATCTGAAATGATTAAAAGGTTGCAATACAATGAAGTCTCAAGATTTTTAATCGAAAGTCAAGATCACTGAAAAGATGAACAACTTTTAGTATCTATTGTAAACTTGCAGAACAAGCGATTCATGAGATTATTTTTGGTCAACAACGAGTACGAAAGGTTGGAAGTATCATTTATGTGCATACATAATCGTCGAAATTAAATTTGAAATGAAATAGGAATAAGAACTGATTCAAAGGCTATTCTTGTTGAAGTCACTTGATGGTAACTTGGAGTGAAAAGTCCATCTTTTACAATTGAGTTATGAGAAACTCATTTTTCGACATTATTCCATTTCGATCATTATTTATCTCATTACTTGGGGTAATTTTTTCTCCATGTTGAAAGGGATTAAAAAAGGTAGAAAAGGATGAGTGTTATTAACATGAAAATGATCTTTTTCTTCTTCTTTTTCCTTCTTCTTCTTCTCCTGCCTTCTTATGCATACAATTTGAATGTTAAACAGTGGTGAATGTTGAACCTATCAACATGCAATGTTAATAAATCAAGATATGTTGATGTGAGAATGAAATGGAAAGGTGGAAAAGAAAAGATGAAAATGAAATAAATAAATTTTGAATAAAAAAGAGAAGAAAAAAGGAAAACATGATTTGAATATTAATGTTGAACAGTGTAGCTTGGTGTAGCTTTCATATCAATGAAACTAACTGTGATCTATTTCATGTTCCGAGGTTGATGAATGTTCAACTTTCCTTTTTTATTTATGTATTTATTAATACAGACTCCAAATCATTTCATCTGACAATATTTTTTCATACTAATAATGAGACAATAATGAAGCAATATATTGACAAGTGTCATCAGTTATGCAGGTTAACCGTTGGTAGACTTACCTTTCGACCTGAAAGGCACTTGGATAACTGCATTGAATCGTATTGATCATATTCACATGAATCAGGTTGCCATCTTGATGAACTCCAGATGCATGAAGACTTTTGTTTACATGATAAACAGGGAATTGACCATTTACCTGGTTCACTCCCTGATGAACACGATGACAGGGATTTTCGTTTCTCTAAATGACTGAACCAACTGAAACCATCTCCAATCAGACCACACTTTTCATGCGGATAAACAGTTAAATCACAATCCTAAATAGAAACATTGATTAGTAACAATAAAGATTATTGAAACTTTAACTTTTCTTTTTTTCTGTAAAATTTTCAAATTCGCTCTCAGCAGATTAGTGAGAACTCGTGAAATCAATAAATCATTATTGCCATAATTCCCTGAGAATAAAATGATAACTTCAGGGAATGATAACACCTAAATGAAATAACTTGAGGGATTGAAATCGAAGCTACAAAAAGTTTTTTTTCTTTCAGAATATTATTGAATCTGAATATTTTCGAGTATTTGATGTGATAATTTCATCGAGTTATTCAAATGAGAAAAGTAGTTCGAAACCTTTTCCAACTTAATTTTGTTCTTGAAATATTTGCAAACGAAACATCGAAAGACTTCTTTTCAAGTTCATGGTTCTAAATAAAGGTTGAAAAGTTTAGCAAAACTTGTTTGAAAAGAATTTCGATTTTTCAGATTTCTTCTTTATTCTATTGTAAGTTGCAATGAACGACTAAAGGAGTTTAATTTTGAGGTTTACCTGGTTAAGATGACAGACTTTATGCATCTTGGTTGGTTCGAGTTTTAAACTGGTCAATGGCAATCGATTAATGTAAACATTGTACGTATTAATGACCATTGGTTCAGCTTGGGAAACATCAACAACAACGAGAGCAACTTTATTGATTCCCAAGCCTAGAGTATAATTTGTTGGCCTGTTGATGTCAAGTACAAAATAAAGCAATAAATTGAGAGCAATTAAGGGTTTGATTAGTCGATATAAGTGTAACATTCAACTCTTGATAGTCTTTCATCTAAACATTATCAACATGACACTTCGTTTGTGCAAAAATAAAGTTCAATAACAATGTTGATATGTTCAGATTCCCTAAATGTTAACCTAACCATGAAATCTTTGGACTGGATGAGAGAAGTGCATTTTAATGATTCAAATATGTTTAACTATCAAGTGTTTGAATGTAAATTGATCATGAAAGCGTTTAGTTTACCTTGACGGTCCAAATTTACCTTCAACTCGCACTTCACTTGAGCAATGCATTGCTGCACCATAAACGGTTATAATCAAAATATCATGAGTAACATTGGCATAGTATTGAGTGATTTGAGGTGAAAATGCAGGATTCAAGTTTAGTGTTGGATTGATTTTCAACGAGGAAATGTAGGGTAAAGAAGATTCATCTGCAAGTGAATGTGAAAACAAAATTAACATTAGTCTTGATACTGTTTGTTGAGAAAATTAGATTTAAATAATCAAAGTGATTCGAGTGGTAAAAGTGTCAACTTTAACTTAGGTGTGGTTATTCAAGTTAAGGGAATGATGAGGGAGTGAAGACACACATTTGATGACTTAATATTGAATTGAATTGTTAATGTTTCCAGTCAACTATCACACCCAAAGGCTTTTAATTTCAAATGAAATACAAATCGCAATATGTTTGTCAAACCAAAAGTAAAATAGCTTTTGTCAACATTAGCTTTTCAGTCTCATTTCATGTAATAACATTTAGATAATAGATCATAATAGACGAAAAAAGCTTCAAATTGATGCACCAATATATTGTATTATCACCAAATATAATAAATAGATCAAGCTTTCGATGATCGAATAGCGTTTAAAGCATTTCTGATGCAGAACGACTCTTTACCAGAAACTGTGTTCACCTTCAAATCGCGTTTTAACGAGTCAATATTGAAGCTTCAAACTCACTTCCAAACCATTTCGACCTTAGAACACCAACAATTTGATTGTTTTAAACTACTATGGATTCAAATACATTTAGTTATTAGATGATTAAGATTGCAATAATATTTGAATAGCAATTGGAATTGAATATTATGTTTTGAGCAATAGTAAGATCGGGTTGAAAGTGAATCAATCTGTTACCAAACTAAAATCCTTATACAGTCATCATAGTAATTATATTTTTACCAATCTTTTTATGCAAAGCTTCATTTTATTAGGAAATGCAATGAGTTTCAATCTAATTTGCTTTCATACTTGTCCCTGATGAGTGGGCATAAGGTTCATGAATCTCATAATGCTAACCTGACACTGGTCATGAGTATCAAGCCTTGGCTCTGGAGTGGGTGAATACAAACAGTTAACACTAATAGAAAATCTGAATGAATTTCAATGTTTCTTCTTATACCAATCTTTCCATTTTTACGATTTTTGTTCCAATATTTACTGAGCCATCATCACAGTTGAATCATTTCAATAATAACAATGAAATTGAAATGAAAAAATTATGTTTTTAATGAAAAGCGTTTGCAAAAAAAGTTTTTGCATTGAAATTGGAAACAAAGATTCAAAACCTTTTGTTGAAAAAACATCTTCAAATTAATTGTTAAAAGTTGAATTGTTGGTAAAACTGAACTGATTTTTGATTGAAGAATGGAAAAAATGAAATTCTGAATTAATTGGTTTGAAAGGGTATTCGATGAGAAACTTTTCAATGTTCAGTTATCAATAAAAGTTGACATGATAGTTGCATGTTTAAGAATGAAAGATTTTGTTCAAAGTTAAAAGCAAAGTTGTCAGTCGTTGATCCTTATTCAAAGTGACTTAATCCAATTTAGATTGGAAAGTCAACATTAAAAGTAATCTAGACTTTCAAGTTTCACCTCCAACCGAGAAAAGATGAAGATGTAATTTATATTTATGCCAACTTTAAAAGGGTCTTGATGATGATGGGCGGATAACATGGAAAGGAGAAGCTTTTAATTCAATCAATCATCGGAAAAAGTATTATTAATAGAATCAACAAATTAGCTGGCGAACATTATTCGAGAAAAGTTTCTCCAAACTTTTAATCGCATGTAAACTCATGGCTTAACTGAATCGCTTTTGCAAAGAGAAGCAAAACATTTCCAAAGTAATCCTGAAAAATATTCAATTATTAAACAAGCTTTTTGCAAAATGTTCACAATAAAACTTGACTTTCCCATGTTAACCAATAAATTGTTGATTAGTTTCAGTCGCTAATTGTTAACTAAACTCTTCACTCTTTTCATTAACCTTGCTTTGGTTAAGGTGAAAATGAAAAGTTTTTCAATTATCAAAGGCAGCAATTAAAAGGTGAAAATGTCTTTCAATGCTAATTAAGGTTGATTCTTGTAATTACATTGCTCACACTTTTCACTGCTTTAATCTGTCAACTTGAACAGCTTTTCATGTAAATTGAATGTGCATTTGGTAAAGATTGGTTTTAAAGTTTCGATTCGATGCCAAACATTACTTTTCAACTCATAATGTAGCGAAATCTGCTTGTTTTCAAATTCCCGTTCGAATTGATCGAAATGCGATTCTCTTGCTTCAATCAGCTTTCAAAACAAATCTAAATCCATTAAATCAAACACTTAGACTAACGAAGACAATATAACATCGAGTGCTTCAATGCTTCCAATACTTTTGCTTCCTTTTGCATTTGTTCAAGGCTTGATAGATCTCAGAGAAAAACGACAAAATCTTAATATTCAGGGCAAACATCATTGGCAAAAATGTATTTCTGCATTTTATTCATTCTTTATCATTATAAGCTATTCTTTATATTTGGATATCGAGTCAATCCGCGAGCTTGAATAATTGTCTCAAGAATTGTACTTTTAATCGATCTATTGACTGAACAAAAATAAATTTATAGCATTATAGCAATGGTTTACAATTAACTAATCTAACTTATTGAGAGTTTGATTTAGAAACTTCTAAACCTTAAGATAAAGCAATTCCTTCATTCTGAAAATCTTTTCATTTCTCACTAATTACACTCTCATCAAATGTTTGTTAATTTTTGCTATTAGTTGCTAATAGTTGGATTAACATTTTATACTGCCAGAAGCATTAGTTTAGTGCTAGAAATTAAGTTAGGGTTGGAGTTTTCACCACAAATGGACGCAAAATATCAAAAGTTTTTTGATGTTTTGTGTTCGTCGAATCGTCAGGGATTATTAGAAAAAGTTTGTAAGTTTGGGTTTTACCTTGATTACAAAAGGCTGTTGAATCAATCGGTGAGGTGAAGTTGGGTGAAGTTGGTTGTTGATGGTTCATTGGATTGGAGTTTAGTTGTGAGGGAAAGTTTTGCTCATCTTTTATTCGCCTTGATACAATGTCCATTTGCATAAGAAATGCATGTAAATCCCATGTTCTGTGAACCATTAAACTGTTTCTACCTTTTTCTAATTTGGTTTTCACAATTTTACTGCTAGTTTCTTCAATCAGTTTGATAAAAGGTGAACTTTCCAGGGTCGGATAGAGACACTGGAAACCATTGGAATTGAGCTTTTCCTCACTTTTCCAGTTTAAAAGGTAAGTTAAATCGGATGAACTTAGGCAAACATCGTGAGTTATATGACAATTGAGTCCCATTAAACCAACATTATCTTGATTTAGAACTTTAATCAGCGTCGAGTAAACTTCATTGACAACATTTAACGATTCAATTTGGACGGAGTTGCTAAATGAGTTTGTTGTTGTTGTTGCGGTAATTAGTGACAAATAATCATCATAAATTGTTCTCAAAAGCTTATTAAATAAGAAACCATTTTCAGGGTGATTAGCCTTCTGTAATTGTGATCCCATTGAGACACCAAGGATCCACGAGTCTAGACTTGAATTTAAAGTGACATCAAATGCAAGTAAAGAAACTGTTGATTCAAATATCTTCTCATTATCCAGACTGGCAGTTGAATAGGATGAAGATGATGAACTTTGATGATTTAATTCGGTTAAAGATGACATTTGACCCAAGAGAAGAGCTTCAGTTATTAATAAAAATTGAGTTAAATGGTTCTTTATTGAAGATTGAGCATAGCTGACATTATTTGCGCCATAATTTATGGTCATATAATCCCAGAAATTGTCCAATGTCCATAAATGTCCATTAACCTGGAATGCAGAAAAGACAGAAATTAATTTGTCTCAAGCAACGAGCAACCATGAAAAATGACAGAACAAGAATAAAAGGCAAAATTTAAACTCTTTAAGCCTTTAGATGAACAAAAATATGAGAGAAAATTTCATTTCAATAGAATCATGAATGAAAATCAATTCAGTTCACATTAGTCAAAGTAATCAGATCATGATCTGAATGTTGATTCTATTGTCAAATGTTAATTTCGATTCGAAATCAAATTCTAAACTAATAAAAATTTCGGAGTTTTCACTCCCTGCTGCTGGGAATGTTTACTGATATAAATTGCGATGCGATTATTAAAGACACTTATGTAAAGCTAAATGCTGATTTCGTTTACGAAAGATCAATTTCGATCGATCAAGCGAAAAAATTCGAGATTCTAAATGTTAGCGAAATTTCCATTGTAAAGACAATAAAAAAACTTTGAATTGGAACTTTGAAATTTGTTTTTCACTCTCATGAGATTTTCTTTGACAACTTTTTTGAACTTTCACTATTTTTCAAGATTTCGTTGTCGTTTCAACATTTAAAGATTTTGAGTTTAATGAATAATTTGTGTGAAAGAGATTTGGAATGAAATTTTGCAAGAAAATTATGAAAAGTGGAAAAGTTGGAAAATCTGTTTTCAACTTATTTCTTCGTTTGATTTTTCATGGTTCCTGTTCGAAATTTTGTGTCGATTTTGGTGAAAGTTGAATTGTTCTGACAAGCTTTTTGAGTAATTTGTTCCTTACCTTTTCAAATGTTTTATCCGATTTCGTATGATTGACTGTGTAATAAACTAAGCCACCTTTGTGAATATAAGCTCTTAATGGATTAATTGAAGTGATTGCGATGAACAATCTGATTGTTAAAGTTGATCCAAACAGTGTTAATGGATTGCTAATTGTTTGCTGAATAATTCCAGACTGTAAAGTATAATCTCGAAGTTTATTGCGCCCTTCATCGGTAAAAATATTAATGGACTGGCGATCGATTTCAGTGTGGAAAGCCCATGAAGCTGAATAACCAAGAGCATCGGAAACATCAAGAAATGCTTGATATTGATGTGGAAGGATAAAGCATAATGGTGAGAATGGATTCTTCATGGCTATCAGATAATAACAGGTGAAAAGAAAAGAGTAAAAGAGGAAGAAAAAACATTTAATTGCAACTTAAACATTTTGAGACAGTAAAAGCTGAAGAGAAGAAAAAATTACTTGAAATTTTGTGAATTTCGTGAATTGTTGAGCAAAAAGATTCTTTTGTTCCAAGTAAACCTTTTAAACCTGGAATTCCGTCCCTTTTCTGATAACTGGACCCTTCAGTTTTCGCATTGAAACAGCTAAAATCATCATCAGAACCACTGTAATCAAGACAGATGAGAAAGTTCCAAGCAGAATCTATAGATGGTGGAAGAAAAGGTGATGAACAATGATCATGAAGATGAGCCTTGAAAAGATTCGAGTAAATAGATTGATGGAAAGAGGAAAAGAGTGAAATGAAATTGTTCGACTTTTATTACGAGTTCATTTTATTAGGACAATAGATCACTTTATGGGACTGTGGCCTGATCATGTAAGACTCGACTACATTTCCGTTTCAATTTTGACAATTGCTAAACCAATAATGATAATAATATGTAACTTCAATCCCAGCAATTCATTCATTTCCTTGGCTTTTTCAACTTTTTTTTCTTCTTCTTCATTCGAACTTTTTTTCAACTTTTTTCTTCTCTCTTTTGACTCTGATTTTATCATTGCTTGGAAGCAGTTGAATCGATGAAATGAAATCCAGGCTCTTTGATTCAATGAAGGAAGTCAGAAAAGTTTAGCTTTCATCATTTCTCTTTCCCAATGAATACCTTGACTTTCACTGTAAACTGATATTCAATTGAGATATCGGTTGAGTTCTGAAATTACTTGGGATAATCACTTTTCGCTCTTCGAGTTGACTCTTTTTTTTAAATCATTTTCTTTTCCATGTTAGGAAATGATGATGATGGTGATAATAAATTAACTATATCAACTTACCATTCTCCTGTGAATTCATTTTGTTGACTTTGTTTTTCATGTTATCCATTTCAATGAGGAAACCATGTTTTCTCAGCGCCCATTTATAAATTGAAATATCCTTTGAGCCAATTGTATTTGAACTTCTGATTATTGCAAGGCGAGTTTTGTTCATTAAACTCACTGATTCCATCTTGGAATTGAGCTGATAAAAGAAAAGAAGAAAAAAAAGTTGCTCTTTTAGTCAATCAATCATTAACTTAATCAAAACAATCTCGAACAAATTTCGGGCAAAAAAATTCATTCTTATCATGAATCAAATCGAAAAGTTTTCCAACAAAATTTTCATCAAAAAATCTCAAAATCTTCACCAGAATTTCCAAAATTTCCAGAAATTCTCCAAAAATCTTTCCTTAAACAGTTTAATTGCTTTCATATTTCGACTAAAATGTATTTAAGAACGTAAAGATTTTCGAATTTCTCGACAAATTAACAATCGAAACTAAACTAATCAGAATTGCGATTCTTTCATTTCTTCAAATTCAACTTTCGTTTCAACTTTAAAAGGTTTTATTAATAAGTTCACTTTTCATGTTAAGACAAAAATTGTTTTCAAATGTTACTTTTTTGTTTAGTGATTTTGATGAGATTTAATTTTTAATTAAGAGCAATTTGTTGATTAAAATTGAAAAGAGTTTGAAAGAGATTTGGAAGTTGACCCTTGGGTTACACTTATTGTTGAATCAGTTTGGACATGAACTGATGTTTACTGTTTATCTGATCATTTTAACTGGCAAATCAAATTGTGCCAAAGGCTATTTGACAACCATTTATCATGAAAGTTTATTCAACATTCTTACTGTTCCAAGTTGATAAATATTATTGTTATTCTATTAGCATTATTATTCAGTTTCTTCAACTGATCAACTCTATTATTAATAACAGCAGCAACCATCAAGTGGCTAATTGAATTACCAGGCAAGATTAAATAGTTTTTGTAAGAGAATCACAAACTTGCTTCAATTAAACAGTTAAGCTCAATTGCCTTCCAATGAGCAAACAATGGTTCCAATGAAACGGTTCAACATTTTATTGGAAAAAAATTTTCGTAAAAAAAAAAGATTTCCATGAAAATCATTGTTTTCCTCTTAAAAGATGAGTTTTCAGATAAAGTCAAAAGGTTTGGCTTTTTAAGGCAATCAATGATAAGAAGACAAAAAGCAAGAAATATCTTTGAATCATCGCTTTCATGATGTCGAGTCAAAAGAGGTGATGTTTGAGTTTATTTTTTTTTGCTTACGTGAAAAGAATTGCAAGAACTGACGAAAAAAATGATCTTCATTTTTCTACTTTTTTGCGCTCTTTTAGCTTTTTTGCCTTAATCTGGTTCAGTTTCTTCTTTGAACAGAAACTTAGTAAGATGAAATGATAAGAGTAAAGGTAATAAGTTGACATGATGTAAGGTATAAGGGAAAAGGCAACAATGAAGAGTTTCATGTTCCAATGAAATATCACAGGGATTTTCAGTGTTTCTCGACAAATGTGTGTAACAGAAGAGTAGAGTTGTTATTTATTATTGTCCACTGAATCTTGTCATCTACAAGTCGAACAACTTTTTTTATTCTTCAAATGGTAAAGATTAAGATGACGATGATTGTGAGGAAAGTGACCCTAGTTGACGAGTAAAGTACAAAAGGTCTAAGCTAAAAGATGAAAAACAATTCAAAAAATGAATTTTCAGAAGACTAGAATTTCGAATTGGAAATTGCAAAAGTTGATACAAATTCCGAAAAATTTACCTCTTTACCTTGTCCAATCAACAGAAACTTTTAAGAGAAATCATTTCGATGATTTTCGAGGAAATAGAATTTCGAAAATCTTTCAGAATTTTTTCGCTTTTCAGTTTTTCTTCAAACTATTCAAAGGCTTTCAAGTCAAAACAAGTTTAGAAAGTTTTCCTGAAAAAATCCAAATTTCATAAACTCATCTTTTCTACGAAATCAACTCCAACTTTCAATATGAACTTTTCGTTCGAAATTGTCAAAGCAAACTACATGCAATTCTGTTCTAAAGCTCAATAATGAAACTTTTGATTTATTTCGAAGTTCTGCTGCTTTTTGAATCAATTAGTAGCTAGCATTGAATTAGTTGGAAAATATTCAAAAGCGAATATTTTTTTCTATTCTATCTTTTTCTTGAAATATAATAGCAAATGAGTTTTCTGGTTAGAACTTTTGTTGAACTGTTTCCATATTGAGTGCAATTTGGGAAGTCCATCATTCCATCAGGTTATTCATGTAAAAGTATATCCTTTAGTTGAATCTAAATTACATCAGCAGAAAATAAGATTCTTAATCTGGTTCAAGTTTACACGAAATGCCAAATGTAATGGCACATATTGATTAATACAATGAAACAAATCTTCTTACAGATAACTTTGTTTCTTTCCTCAACTTTACCTTCAACCTTCCAATGTAAGTCTTTGTTGTTTTTTCATCAACAACTCCATTCATCTTTATCCTCTTTCCAACTTTTCAAGTCCAATTGCTCATCAGATTTGACCTTAAAATCCACAAGTCAGATTAATCCGATTCTTAAACATTTGCTCAACATTAAACCAATGAAAGGGAAAAGAGGAAAATGTAAAAACAGAAACCTTAATAATGAAAGCAAATCTGAACCCAAACTATTAAAAAAATTGTTGTCACCTTTTCCTTCCTCCAGCGAACCTTTTCACTCCCAGTCTTTTTTTACCACTCGAGTTGAATGAAGATACGGTGATAACATTGTCATGGTTTACTGGCAATTGCAGGCTCATTCAACTTTACAAATAACAGTTACTTGAGCTCACATGAAACGTGATTTGAATTGATTCAAATTATGACAACTCAAAATGAAAGCGATATATTCAGTTATCTCATCAATTTTTGTCCAACAATAAACTGTTACACTGCTTTTAACCAGAAAATGATTGTACCAACAATTGAACAATTTTCTGAGTAAACATTTCATTCCAAAAAAAACTCCAACAATGAAGTTCATCAATTTTATGCAAAATTTTATTCTAATCAAAACTATTCTTTTCCATTTCAAAAGGAAAATTCAATGAAATCGAAAATTTGATTTTTGGAAAAATGTAAAAATTCGTTTTTTGAAATGATCTTTTCATCATTTTACAAGTTTGCAATTCTGATTATCTAAATATTCAAACGTTTAGCCGAGTCAAGTAGTTCGAGTTTAAATGGAAATAAATTATCAAATTTTTTGTCCAAAAGTGTTCATTGGCAATGAATTTGTCAACCTTGTTAATGCTTTTCTTCCTGGTTTTGGTCTTGTTTCTCATATTGTCTGGTAAAATAAAAAATGAGCTTATCCTTTCAACTATTATAATGGCTTTCCATTTTATTTGCTTCAATCCTTTTCTTTGTTTTCACTACAAATGACGATTTAACCAGTAAAATTGTACTTTACAACATTTATCAAGTTTCGTCTCGATTTCGACTTCATATTTGTTCTTGAATCTCAAAGGTCCTATCAAATTTTACCTCCAAGTGTAACCTTTATAATCACAGATTGATGAGTGTTCAGTTTAAAAGCATTTGAAGAAGCCAAAAAAGCCAATTAAGATTTCGACCTGAAATAAGTTCAAATGAATATATAAAGTGTTTTATTGATTATTCAGTCTCAATTGAGATGTGCAAATCGAATGGCCATTGTATACACTTGCAATAAACTTGACCATCAATCTTGACAAATTATCTTGTTCATCATTGGTAATGAATACAACTTAATATTGTCAAGCAAATTAATCTATCATTCCTTGATTAGATCGAAACTTCCAGAATCTTTTTTTCTTACAATCGATTCCAAATGAATTTTCATTTCTGAAGAAAACTTGAAAACTCGAGAAAAGTCAAGTCTTGAAGTTGCAATTCTTTTGCTAATTATCTTCAAATTTCATGAGAATCTCAACAAATGTCAACTTTTGTCAAAAAATTGTCTTTTGATTCAGTGATTGTTCCATTGCATTTGACTCGAAACTCAATCGATATAAATAGTAATTTTGATGCAATTCTTTCGATTTTTTTTGTAATTTTCCAAGTTTGCAGGTTTTGGAGGGAAACTTTGACCACTTTTTGATACTCAAATTTTGTCATTAATATTTGAAGATTCATCGAGTTTCCAAATTAGCAAATGTCTGATTTATTTTCATCCCTGACAGATTGAGATAAATTGATATTGATTGTAACATTTCGTGTAACTATTTTCGGGTTTGATTGAAAGTTTTGTTCGCTCTTTTTGTTTGTATTTGTTTCACTCTTGAGAGTCTTTTTGTGTTTTTTATTGATTCCTGTATTGTCAAAATAAATAACTGTCAAATGGAAACAAAAGTTGCATGGAAAAGTAACAAATTCAGAGTTGATAATGAAATGAATGCAATTCTTCATCATGACTCACGTACATTTTAAACTTCATTTTTTCTCGACTCATACTTCAACTGAAAGCCATTTAATCAATGAAAACTTTCATTTGATTGACCCAATTTTCAGGTAATTATTCAGAAATCATTTTCTCATTTTAATGTTGTTTTCGTTCGTCTTATGAGTTTCTGTCTGTCATGAGTCGATGTTTGTTCAATGTTTTTTTGTCGAGATTGACAAAGTTTTCAAAGGTTCAACATGTCATCAGATTTTGACTTGTGATTGGCAAACTTCATTTGATGAACTTTTTGATTGAAAAGGTTTCACCAGAAAAGGTGAACAAGTACAAAATGGAACATGGAAAATTATTGAATCGTTCATTTGACAGAGATAAAAGTCTATGATAATATGAAAACCAATAAAGGTAAAGAGGAGAAGAAACAACAGAAGAAGAAAAAAGAGAAATCGTTTTTTTTCTATTCTCCATGTTCAATGTGAAAATGTAAATGTTGTTGAATTGAAGGTTTTTTTTCTTCTTTCATCAAAGTCATGATGATCATGATGATTATCAAGAAGCAAAAAGACGAAAGAATAAGCCAAAAGAATCCATGAAAAGAGAAGTTGCTCTAAAGCTATTCACCTATTCTCAATAAATGATCCTCATGAATGTTTCAAGAGACATTTTTTTCTTACCTTTTCTTGCTTACATTTGCCTTTGAAAGGTAAGCTAGACAGGACTAGAGGAAGATGATAGAGAGAGAAACAGAGAAGAAAAGGAAAGAGA